CGCCGCACACTCTTTGCGGGACACGCCGCCCGACCTCCTGTCGGGAAGACTTTCGACGCAAGGCTCGAACCGCAGATCTTTCCTTCACTGGGCTACACCATTTGATCCGCCAAATCATCTTGTACCGTCGTGACTATAACTTCACGAGACGCGCCGCCCGGCCTCCTCTCGTCGGGAAGACTTTCGACACAAGGCACCACCACCTGCAGATCCTCTTTCTTGGTCTTGGTCCTAGTTACACCGTCACACCGAGATTTTTCCACACTGCACAGTCCGCTACTCCCGCCCGCAAGAACCTGGGCTCCGATACCACATGTTGGGACTGCGCGTGCCCTCACCCCAACGCCGCATTAGTATGATATTGTCCGCTCTGGGCCAAGCCCTCACGGATTTGTTTTTGGGCACCTCCCACAATGTCTCATACTAATGGGGTTGGGTGAACCTATATATTTTGGTTCATTTACTCCTACTCATCCGGTGTGGGACTTGGAGGAATCCCAACAATTTTGGTCCTAACTTATTTTGTTGGGATATTTTTGAGATATATATTATACTACATCCGTCCCAAAGTATTTGTCCAGTTTTGATTTTTTTCAGTCAAATATTTTCAACATTTGGCCTATAGTTAAATAAAATATATTGTATATTAATTAGATAAAATAATATTTTATAACTATATTGTATAATAAATCTAATTAAATTTTTTTATCAATATCTAATCTTATTTTTATTAAATTTGAAGTCAAATTTTACCAATTTTGACCGAAGAAAGTCAAACGTGGATAATTACTCAAGGACGGAGGGAGTACTCAGTTTGATCCGGTTCATTTTAATTTAGTTTGTACAATTTTTTGTTTCGATTCAATTTTGGATCAGTCCTAATATAAATGAGTTGGGTTATATTTTGGTTTCAGATTTATTCTAATTTCGGACACGTTTCGATTCTAATATATTTTGGATATATATTGTTTTTATATTTAATTTTAAAATTTCATGTTTACTTTTTTAGTCACACAATATTTATCAAGTTATCGGGTCTGTTTGGGAAAAGCGTTAGCGATTAGCGTTAGCGTTTTGAAAAGTCTATCTACGGGAAGCGTTTAGCGTTAGCGTTTTCAAAGTAATCTACACCGTTAAAAGTTTATCCACAACGCTAACACTAATCTCAAACGCTATTCCCAAACAGACCCATCATCACGTAAATGATTACTTACTGTTTTCCAAATGATACTCTTTGAGATTTTTTCTTTCTTTTTTCACTCTCTTCTCATCTTTTTAGTTATTTTCGCTCTATATATTACTCCCTTCGTCCTATATCTTTCTTTCCGTTGCGTAAAACGAAGAAAAATCTCAAGTTTTTTCTATCTATTTTATTTAAATATTGGTATAGAAATAAAAAATAAAACATACATATTTAAAAACCACATCAAAAGTTCAACAATATAAGTAGTGACAAGAATATTTTATTTTATCATATAGGCCATGAAAAAACACAAATAAATATAAATTCTCGTGAAGTTGGAATAATGTTTTGGGAAGAAAATTTTAGGATGGAGGGAGTAATATTTAACCTTTTTTTCTCCATATTTTTTCTCTATATTTAGCCATTTGGCACATAAGCTCATTTCTACTTTCTCATCACTTTCGCTAGATTTATATCTTGCTCAATTATCTTGCGTCCATCTCCCACATTGAAGGTCAAAATATGTAGCACTTTGATTAAACATTTCAATTGTAAAAAACAATTAAAATGAAGGGAGTATCGTCTAAATATATAACCAACTCGTTTAAGTGGTAAAATAAATGAAATTAAAATTACATTAATGTAACTCTGCACTTATGCACATAATTATTACTCTATAATATGTTTATTGAAAATGCATAATCAGTCTCAGGTTTTATCGGTATCAGCTATCATCAATTTCGAATCTTATTGATTTCGAGTATAATTAGTTTTAGACCCAACGCCAAAATATTGGTTTTTTGAATAAATGTTTTGTTGATTGAACATGAAGTTGACTAAATTTGATGTTGACCGAATCTGAAACAACCCATAAAAATGGGTCAAACCCAATCGTACTCGAATCTGACTTAAACAGCCTGCTAATGTAAGAGTTTTTAAAAATCATATACTTTGCCGGGGTGGAAGAGAATACAGTGTGCGAGGGAAATATTGACACACATGGCAAGGGACGAGGCACTCTTATTTGCGAGGCAGGTGTGAGGCAAAATTTATCGCTGAAAATATAGATTACATTAGAGCATGAGACATCCATTTTCTTTTTTTACATAGTATCTTTTTTGTAATCCTCTCATCCACTTTTTTCATTGCATGTGTGTTGTCGTTGAACAAGGTTCTGATGACACTGGCCAACGGCGACACTTTAGTGTCACTGAGTTTTTGGAGCACCTTGGGTGCCCCGTTCGCTATTCGATAGTTCCGATCCTACACCCTTAAACCCTCACTCTTGCCCTGCCCCATATTCATACACTCATTCAAATGTGCGGCTATTATGCATTGCATAATAATATGTATAATAGCCACACATTTGGAGCAATGTTATGAAAATCAGATTGAACATTGAGCCAGCGAGGTAAGTGGGTCAAGGGTCAACCGGTCAAAGCGGGTTGAACCAGGTCAACAATGCAGTCAATTCATCTATAACATTCCTAAAAGTATTTTTATATATTCCATAGTATTTAATATTCAAACTTATATTTTGTTGATTAATTTGAGAAAACAGAAAATAAGGATAAATTGTAGTACATTTATTTATAGGTACTAAAATTGAGTTTATTGAGTTTTAAGGATGATGATAATTTTTGGATAAATTATTCATACTTGTTTTAAAATTTGTTAAATCTTTTATTCTTTTAATTATTTTTAATGTAAAATAAGTTTACATTACACAAGCATGACTTATTTTTATAAATAATTGAAGGTCAACATAATATTTGTTCAATACCCACTATTTTCGAGTCGGGTTTCGGGCAAAAAAATAGGTTGGATCATTTTCTACACTATTAGCCAATGTCAACAGAACCACCCTCTTGTTGGTCAGCATTATTTATTTCTTTCCCATCTAATCCTTTTTTTGTAACTAAAAATACAAACCCCTTTTATAAAAATCTAAATAAGCCTTTTTTTTTAAACCTAAAAATATATTTTTCAAATTTAACGTTATATTAAAGACTATACATCCCAATGTAATAGATAATTAAAATTAATTTTAACAATTAAACTATACAATTTAAACTATATACACATCAAAATACATATTTTTACAAAAAAAAGTAAAAAAGACTCGGACTATTTAAAATATGTCAAAAAATGTAAACTTTGAGAAAAATAAATACATGCCACTCGACTAGAATGTCACTGTGTGACAAGGCTGTTTTTGATTCGTTGAAGTACGACATGTCGTATTAATTTATGTCAACAGTGCTCATATATTTTATACGGAGTATTTTAGACAATTCATCATATTTTATTATTGAATGTGCAAAATGCACAATTAATTTTTCAAACATAAGAAAAAAAATAATTTTTTTTTTGTTTATTACTTATTTTTATTAGAATGAAATCAGAGTAAATCAAAAATATTTTTAAAAGTAACTGCAACCAGATCAAATTAGAACTTAATGGAAGCAAATCTAAACTAATTAGACTAGTTGAAAAGAACAATCCTAGAATTTGTACCAAAAGAGTAAATCAAAACCCATATATTCAAAATCATAGCCTCTAGACTCCCCCCACCGGCCACCACCTCCAACGAGCTCCATTGGTTTGGTCTCTAGCCATTGCTTTTTCAACCCCTCATGCATGCAGTTATAAATGTAATGTGACCTCTTGGAGTGGTCCAATGGTAAATAGTATACACTTAAGATTAGTGGCGGATCCAGGAATTCGGGTAGATGGAGGCACTTGGTCGGGAGTCCGGGGGCGTTGCCCCCGAAATATATGAGATGACAAAAAAATATTAGATTTTATTTCTACCATTTATTGAATGTAAAACATTTATTAATAGGTAATGTAAAATTTTATTTCATAAACAATTAATTATGTGTAATAAAATACACTTTACTAAAAAAATCAATAAAAAATTTAATTTAACTTGATTAAATGGGATCACATTAATTTTTGTTGGGGGCATATGTACATAATTTTTTTTAAAAAAAAAACTTTTACCTTATAACAAAAATTAGTAGGGGGCATATGCCCCCAACTCCAATAAAGTGCGTCCGCCCCCTTAAGATTATCTTTTTGTAAGAAATTTTGAATACGAGTCACCCTATCGATAAAAAAAGACTTAGTAATCCATAGGGCCAAACCAACTCAAGTTGGATATGACCCAAAGAGTAACGAACAAATAGTGTATACTAATCCGTATGTCCAAATTGGAGGTCAAGTTTCTTGTGGTAGAGCTACAATTCATACGATGCAATGTGTCAGTCAGAAAATGAATAGACATACTATCCAATATGCACAATTATAAGGTTCTTGAGTTATCGTTTAGTCTAAGATTATATCTCACTTTATCTCCTCCCAATCTAGTTCTGAGCGAGTACTAGAAGGACACCATGGGATCTATGTTTTTTAAAAAGGTGGAATGCCCACCCCGGGCGCACCCACATCCCGGCCCAACAGGATTGTAAGAGAAATAACTCATGGTATAATTTCAGTCTCATCCTTAGAGAGGCCGACTCATGCTCGGTGCGCACAAGGAGCTATTACAAAAAGTAGAACTCTCACACTGCCGCTACTAATAAAATCTACTCCGTAATAGAGAGATGCTTGCTTGCAGCCCAATCTCACCTGTTCTTACTACTTGAGTCTGGCCAATAAATCTTCGAGATTGTTAGTGGCGGTACAAGTGTGGATATGTATATAATAATTACAAGAAGAAAAATCAGGTCTTTTAGTTGACAGCTAAAATAAAGGAACCAAAAAGAGAAGGGGGGAAAAATGGCACAAATGGGGAAAAACGTGCATCTTATGTCCTGGACCCTTGACTTTTTTTCTTTTGATGTAATGAGTTGGAATAGACAGATATAATAAATCCCAGACAGAAGAGACCCAAGTCTTTTGGCATGGAATTTCAACTCCTGCAAGTATAAACCCACCCAAAAGACGCCATGAAAAGTGGGAGCTATTATTGCTGCTGGGATGGGGTCAAAGTTGATACAATGTGAGAGAAGGGAGGGCGCTTTGAAGGGCAACTGTTCCAACACTTGGTCATCAAAGACCTAAGAGTTTGGGGGCAGTCCTTTGGGATTTCAGGCCTAAGGCCACAAGCAGCAATCCCAACGGCAGCCTGCACCGGAGAATAGGAGGAATACGCTTCCTCCCCCGTCACTAGTTCCCATAATATCATACCGAAACTATACGCGTTGCTCATCCATGTTTCTGCAACATTTTCTGGGTCACCGGCAATGATCTGTTGCATCCAAAGATATATACTACATGTTACTTGTGGGAAGAGGAGGGGGTCATGACAACACAAATTTAAAAGAGCAGAAAATTTACTGCCTCCGTCCTAAAATTATATTCTCATATTGAAATGGCACGATTGTTAAGTTGAACCACACAACCCATCCTTGAAAGTAATGGGACGAAATCATTACGAGATCCCAATAAAAGAGACTTGGAAGATAATTTTAGTACAGGTGAGGTAATAATAATAATATCAGTAATTATATTACTCCATATTATTATAATTATAATTATTACTAAATTGCTAATAAGGCAACAACACAAAAAGGAGGGACATATGGCACACAAAGCCTGGTTTATTTTATTTGGTCATTAGGATTTAGGACTATATGTGGTCACTACAAAAAGGAAGTGCTTGCCAGCTCACAATTACATCTAATGGTGAGAAACCCAAAACTCTATACCTTGTGTTTTCGTAATCATGCAACAGATTAGTCATAGTTGCATAGAGCAAACACATCATGACAATTAGTTGCACATGCTATGCTGACATAATGATGCACACCATAAAGTTTTCATTCTAAGATAAGCCCTTTCTGTCATATAACTGTATCATCAATGTGTAACAAGCCAAATAACAACCCCACAATGTGTCATTATATATTTGTCATATTAATATCTTTCCATCTTCTTTCTCTTTTGGCTAGATTGGCAGGAATATGGAGTAGCTATTCTTAGTCAAAAGTACAAAAATGGCAAGAAAACATAGAAATCTAGGACTGTTCCACACAGGAATATATAGGGCAATTGTTTCAAAAGGCTGGATGGCTTATCATACATATATGCACATTCATATGTGTTTATCTGTGCATGTGTATGATTAACAATTTAACGTACTCTCAAATCTGGCACATAGGGACCATTGATGCAACATTTTTAAAAGTTAAGGGACTATTGGTGCAGTTTTAAAAGCTTAGGGGATATCCGTGAACTTTTTGAAGAGTTTGGGGGTAAATGGCACAAAAAACTCAAAGAACAAGCGATGGAAGCACAAGAATACTAACAAATAACCACGAATGCAGGAAAGAATGTAGCGTTTGAAACAAACCTCGGGAGCTAGCCATCTATAGCCATCAGTTTCATACTCCATAGCTTCACCACCACCATTGCAAGCAGCGACAATTCCCATGTCGCCGAGGCAAGCATTCCCATATTTGTCTAATAAGATCTTCTGAGTATTAAGGTCTCTATAGGAAACTCCATGATCATTCATGAACTGGAGCCCCTCAGCTACATCGCACGCAATCTTCATAATCTCTTTAGTTTGAATCTTTTTATTCTTGAAGAGATAATCGTGAACGGATCCGCCTTCCATTAGCTTAGTCACAACACACAATCCATGATCATCGTCAATGCACACGCCGTAGAAATGCAATATACTCCTGTGTTGGCAAGTCATCAACTCCAACAAATCTCTTCGAAGCTCAAACTCATACGCATTTCCTTTGTCACAGCCTTTGAGCTTCTCGATCCCAACTCGCTTTCCCTTGTATACCCCCTTGAAGGTACAAGGTCCAAGCTGGTCAGTGAACTCGAGCATATCTGGGCTCAAAAGCCACTTCTCAATCTCATTCCCACTGGATTGCACCGTTTGCCATTCATTTACAGATACTATAAACGAAAAGCTGTGCAAAGGTGCTTCCGGGCTGGTATCATCTCTTGCAGTTCTGTAAGTTGGTTGACCACAGTCCTCATCTTCAACCTCCCCAAACTCTCTCCCGGGAGTGTTCTGTTCTTGACACCCACAAAGCCGGAAAGGGAGCTTCTTATTTTTTGGCTTCTTGAGAGCAGATTTGAGAGCATTTTCAATCCGAGTTCTGAAAATTCTCTCCTGATCAATTTGCTGAACTAAAAGCAAAACTACCCCTAATGTGAACCCTTTCTTCTCGAAGATCTGTGTTTTTCTACAAGAAATCGACGCACTATCAAGGGCCCCAGACATGGCCGGCCAAGAAATAGAAGAACTGCAAGCGAATGTCAGCTTATATACACCCGACCCATGAACTTCTTCGTCTTCTTCAGACGCCTCTTGTATCATTATTGCCGGTTGATCCTCCATTGACGCTTGTTCAAGCAATTTGATGTGTAGAAATACATCCTTCATTTCAAAACCAGCTTGCGCGTAACTACAATCACAAATGAGGAAAAAGCCCCCTATAAGAGATGATGAATCGTCGGATTTTTTTTTCGGGAAATAATAAATCGAAGCAGTAAATCTGCAGAACAGTATAGCCGGGAGGGTTAACCTGAGAGGCAAAGAGTCGTAATGCTTGCGGATGTTGGAAACGAGTCTCTCGGGAAGCTGACTGCCAGGGTAGAGCTGAGTCAGGCTGCGCACGACGCCGGCCCAAAACTGCTTCCGGCATCCCTCCGTACGTCCGGCCGGATGAGGAGAAGGAGGCGGAGCGGGAGATTCGCGGACAGAATCGATGTTGAACGAGTTCTTCAGCGACGCAATGGCTTCGGAAACGTTCCTGCCCAGCTTCTGGAACCGCTTCTGCATCGCCGACGACTCCTTGAGGCCGCCGGCACCGCCTCCGCACACATCGAAGGAGGAAGATGCGGCGTTCCTCAGCGCACCTTCCGATCTGTCGCCGGCTCTCATGAGGACTTGCTCCGCCATGTCCTCGTCCGTACTGGCTCGGCTGGACCAGCATTCCAGCGCTGCCGCCATGGCTGTCTCTGCTTTTCAGGTCTGCCGGAGACGGAGACGGCGAGGGAAGAAGGAGAGAGTACAAATGTGAGATTAAAAATGGGCGTGAAGGTCTCTCTGGTTATAGGGCGATGGATGAAATATCAGAAGGTACCATTTTCTTTTAGTCTGCTTCTGTCCTGTTCTTCTTTTCGCGTTGATGATGGAGGGGCGGGGAGGGAATGAAGAACATACAAAAAGAGTCTGACTCTATAGCATGCTTGCGACAAATGAAAGAAAATGAAATTATTTGGCTGATTTCCCACAAAACATGTTTATTCTCTCCCTTCCAAATTAAATTAGGCAAGAGTAGAAATCACTATAAACAAAATTAAAATATTGAAAAAAATACGAAATATGATTTTCATGTTTTGTTCTCGAAATAAAATTTGTACTGTGGTAATGTGACATTGTACATGTGCACGTTACTATACTTTTTGAAAATGTACATGACCATGTTTAGTAATGTAAATGCATTTTAAATCCTATTTCAGGAATAAAAATATAGGAGTCCTATTTTGGTATATTTTCAATGTTTTAGTCCTACTTTAGTCTTTCTCCCATTAAATTATGCAATTCGTAAAATTTACAAAATTTTGTAACTTTTAATTTCATGTAATTCCATAATGGTATAAAAAAGGAAACTTACACATTCAAAAATTACATCAAAAGTTTTCTCAATTGGTCAATAAAAACATAAAAACAAATAAAAGTTAACGAATGGTTAGAATAGTAACTTTTCATTTTTTTACGAGTTATTAAAAGTTTGATTGTAATTACTCATTTATTGCTAGATGTAGTACGTCCCAATATATCTTTTGGGTTCATACACAATATGAGATTATATGTCTCCTATTTGATTTCCTCTAGATGAAAGTATTTTATACTATAAAAAATGAGTGATAACTTACCTCTTATAATAATATAAAGGATTCGATGATACTAAATTTAACACTAAAAAATAATGTGTTGGGCAGAATTTGATGAGGTGCCACGTAAGAAGCATGTGAGTGTGAGTACATGTACGTTATGAAGTTTTAAAGAGAGACGTGACTACTGCGTGATGAGGTGAATGTATGAATTATTTTGATTATTTAAAGTGAATGTCTTTATATTTTGATTGATTGAAAATTAAAAAAAAGAAGTGGGTGAAGAAAAGGGATGCTAGTCACCAAGGAAGGGTCGACGCCCCCTCACGCCATATGTGTTATGGAGAGTGGGGGCGTAAAGGAGGTAGTCAAGCCCTCCTCACGCCACCATAACACATTGCTTTATCCAAGATACAAGAAAATAGTTTTCACCAATGTATATTGCCGTTGTGAAAAATAGTTTAACATTATCAAGTTTGGTGTTATTTTAAGTTTTTTATTGAAAAAGAACATATTACAATAATACCAAAATGACACCGGGTTGACACCACTAGTGTCAAATAAACTACGTTGTATACCTCTTTGACTAGTGCTAGGTGTACACCACTTCGTACACTATTTGTGACAATGTTTTCACCGACAATTACTCTTTGTACAAGTAAAAGTCTCATAGTGTCATCTTTAATGTCAAACTTAGACAACTTAGTATTATTCTATCAACTTTGTATTGGAAAATAAAGATAAATAATTATGGTCTAGAAACTTACCCTACAAATAATGGGCATGTTTGGGAATAGCGTTAGCGTTTTGAAAAGTCTATCTACGGGCAGCGTTTTCAAAATAATCTGCACCGTTAAAATGTTATCCAAAACGCTAACGCTAATCTCTAACGCTATTCCCAAACAGGCCCAATATCAGTTAAAATGAGCACCAAGCAATCAAGTGTACCGTTTAGGGAATAGCATCATATGTGTTTTTTCTTTTAATAGCATCATATGTGTTTTTTTCAATGTAACACTTTTAGTCATTATCTATTAGTCATTATTCAAGTAAATGTCCATCATCACTGGTCATTATTTCTCTTTCTAGACATTATTAAGTGTTATTTAAGAAATAAAATAATTTAAATGCTATTTAGAGAAATGACTTAAATTTTAATGTTATTTATGGCAAATATTTCTTTAAGAAAATAAGATAAATGACTAAAGATTATTTCCGGCCCAATTTTGATAAATACGTTCTTTTAATTTCAATTGACTTAGGCCCCGTTCCGTTCAACTTATTTTTTCTTATTTTTTCTTATTCTTATTAAAATCAGATCAGACCAGACCAGATCAGATCAGATCGAATCAGATCAAATCAGATCAGATCAGATCAGATCCAATCAGATCAGATCAAGACTTATTAAAATAAGATCTCATCAAGAATTATTATTATTATTATTATTATTATATTATTATTATATTATTATTATTATTATTATTATTATTATTATTATGATCATCATCATCATTATCATCGTCATCATTATTATTATTATTATTATTATTGTTCTTAAAAATGAAAAAGAAAATAAACTTTAGAAATAGGTTAAATAAAAAGCTGAGAAAGTAATCCTTAATTATTAGACGTCGGAAAAATTAGTTTTAAAATACATTGACAATGTCAATCTAATTCTACTTTTAAAATATATTTTTATTGCTACTTGTAATTCGAGTTTCTAAACTTTTGATCTTTTATAAGAATGAGATATTTTAATAAAAATACTATCTCTTCTATATATTGATTATCTAAATTTAATTACTTTTAAATGTATATCTAAATTAAATATTTATTCCAATGTATAATTCTAATTTTACAAAAAAATTATCATAAAATAAAAAATATTATTACATTATAATATGAATGATTATTCTAATATATGAATTAACTATTTTTATTTTATTAAAAAGGAATCATTAAATAAAAAATATTGATTATATTATAATATGAATTATCATTACAATTTTCAAACGTTATTATAAAATCAAATTAAATTATTGATTTGAAATTTTAAATTAAATCATAATTAATCAGATCAGACCAAATCAGATCAGATCCAATCAGATCAGATCCAATCAGATCAGATCCAATCAGATCAGATCAGATCAGATCCAATCAGATCAGATCAGATCCAATCAGATCAGATCAGACCAGATCAGAAAAAATAAGTTGAACGGAACGGAGCCTTAAAGTGGTTTAATTGGATCATAATTAAAAAAAACTAATGATTGCTAACAACATTAGTGTCTTGATCACTCTTTGACACACTAATGTAAACTTTGAATTATTAGTAACATCAAAATTACAGGTTATTTTCAAGCAACTCTCTTTATGACTTGAATTATTGGTACTATTTTTTCAAAATAAACCACTCTTGGAATTGTTTTTCTCGACAAAGATGATGCAATTCAAAGTCTATAATATAGATATAAATGCGTAGTACAAGTTTTAAATGTCTTCAATAGAAAAATGTCTTCAACATGGGAATCTTTGAAATTCACTCTTCCTGACTAAAGTGACTAAACCATTATGCTCTCACACAGAAGACAGTGAATAACTAAGATAAAAAGGGAAAACTCTTTTATACTCATAGCTGGGAAAAAAGCATAGGATTTTGAATCCTTGAAAACAGTACACATCTAAATGAGAGAAGTTGTAAAAAGTAAAAAGGAAATGAGACAGCTTTAGACTTGTGATTCATGAAAAGAAGTATCGGTAGCCCCATCTGCAAAACAAAATTTCTTTTGAATCGAATTTTTCTTCATAGCAGATGAGCGGGCAATGGAAGAACCACGTCAAGAGGGTGTACATCTTCCTCATGCGGTTAGAGCAGACTGGGCAGCAAGCCTCTTCTTTGCCTCTTCAATAATGGTCAGCTTGATACCTTTCCCCTTGGGGAGAGAAACCCAGGGCTTGGTGCCCTTACCCACAGTAAAAACATTCCCAAGTCGGGTGGCAAACTCGTGGCCGAGGGCATCCTGGACGTGGATGGTCTCGAAGCTTCCCTTATGTTTCTCCCTGCTCTTAATGATTCCAACACGCCCCGTGTTCCTTCCACCGGTCACCATGACCATGTTCCCAACATCAAACTTGATGAAGTCCACAATCTTGTTGGACTCCAAGTCCAACTTTACTGTATCGTTGGGCTTGATAAGAGGGTCCGGGTAGCGGATGGTCCTACCATCATAGGTGTTGAGGTATGGAATTCCCTTCTTTCCAAACTGGATAGAACGGACTTTGCAGAGTTTGAACTGAAAATGAGCACAAAAGATGAGGATGGCATTTACTTAACACATAAGCTTGCAATGTAAAAGCACATCAAACACTAAACTAAGTACCTCAAGTATTGAAAATATTTTTCTACACTAAGGGTAATATGCTATGACATGATAAATTTGCTGAAGAAAATTATAATCTTGAATTAATTTTATCAAGGAGAATGAAAGTCAAATGAAATATGATTAGCTCTTTTCTTCAGGTTTCTCCTTTGTTTTGCATCCTAATTATAAAATTTTCATTTTTCAGGCACCAAATGGACCTTACTTCTCCTACAGATGCCTCACATGCTATACTCTGTAAGTACTCAATAATAGAAAAGTGAAGACAACAGCTATACAAAATATTCACCTTAGCCTCCTCATCCCTGATTGAGTGAAGCCGGAAACGTCCCTTTGTATCGTAGAGGAGACGGAAGTTCTCATTTGTCTTTGGAATTGAAACAACATCTGAAAATTTCAGTCAAGTAAAAAAAACTAAGTGTCTGAAAACAATAAAAGAACATGATCATATTCCATAGAAGCAACAGAAAGAATATATATAGCAATAGTTGACATTCACTTACCCATGAAACCTGCAGGATAGGTCTTGTCTGTCCTAACCTTACCGTCTACCAAAACATGTCGCTGCATCAAAATGGAGATGACTTCACGGTATGTGAGGGCATACTTCAACCTGTTCCGAATGATAAGGATCAAAGGCAAGCATTCCCTAGATTTGTGTGGTCCAGAAGAAGGCTTAGGTGCCTATAAAGTAAACATTTAAAATAACATAAATTTAATGGCAACAACTATTAGAGAATATTAATCAAGGAACCCAACTACTTAGACAAATAAGAGCATGTGTATGTTCATCAACTTACAAATGCCCCGCCGAGTTTATCCAGCATCCAATGTTTGGGGGCATTTAGCCTCTTCAAGTGCTTCTTCAAACCTCTAGCCTGTTATGGACAGCAAATAAATACAACAGACACATTAAAACTAAACATGAAACAACATTATTAGATGTGTAAATAAAACCATATTTACAGATGATAAGTCTTTCATGAAACAAGTTGAGGAATCCTATGTTGCAAAAAAAATTCATATAAGCGCCTTTTCTAGTGTCCCAAATGTATCCGTTTGGGTACTTGAAGAAGTCTCGCCATTCAAATCCCTCTTCCAATTAGGAAAAGTTGGTGTTCCCATGTTCCTAATCCCATCCACATATGAACACCCATTCTTGGCTTCATGCAACTTAAGATGAATCTGATGCATTTTGCAAGATATGACACTGTCGTTTGAATGTGAATCGTCTAGAAAGCATTTATATGTGATTATAAATCCACCAAAGCAGTTCATTGTAACTGTAACCATACACTGAAAGCTAAGAATTGCCCAAATTTTCAAAACATAAGGAAAACGTGTCTTTCACTGACGAAGAAGGCGGACAAATTTGCAAAATTAATTCCTGATCTACCATTTTTGATTCATTTTCAATAATCCTCGTGAACAGTTAATGAATAATGGAGCATCGGATTGGCAGAGACGAAAGAACAGTTCACATAAATCAGCTCATAACAATAATGACAAAATGAGATTATGGTGCGAAAAGAATAACCATGTTGGCGGGTGGTCAGCTGAAAATCTAAGTCCCGGGTGATCGGCCGCCTGCCGCCGGTGCTGCTCCGCTGCCGCTTCTTGAGATTGTCCAGTCTAACCCTAGACTTCTGAAAAGCATTTTACGTTTATATACTTTCTGGATTATCTAGGAACCGCAAAGTGTTGGGCCGTTTTTAGGCCTGAGAGGAAATGGGCTATAAGTGAAACAAAAATGGACTACGTGACACCCGGCATCGGCACATCAATTTTTGAAAAAAAAACATTTCTTCGTCTCAAAATAATCCTTATTTGTTCAATTTAATTTTTTTACATCAAGCAAAATAAAGTTTAATATTTAATTATATCTAATTTGTGTAGCATATAAACATAATAAAATAATTTCTTAAAATTTTTTACAAAAGAAATTTAAGAGTAATTTCGAGTAATTTCTCAAAAACCAAATTTTATAACTTAAAGATTTTCACATATACTCAACTCCGTGAAAAAATATATTCATGACCTTCCATATTTAAAGATTGTTTCACGACAAAGCTTTTGAGCATATATTGACGGTCCTTTATTTTTGAGAATTATTCAACATATCTTAACTATATGTAGAAATCTCAATGTTTTTTTTGAAAGCTAATCTCAATGTTATAAAGCAAAGTTAGGGATAACAATGAGTTGTATTTTGGTCGGGTGGAGCTTCATTTACATCCATTTATTAACTTTATAAATATCATACTAACAGTGTAAATTTAACTAGGTAGAAAGTAATCAAGACAAGTCTGACAAAATATATTTAACTTGTCAGATTATATGAGACGAGAATATTAAGTAAAAGACTAAAATTTAGAACGTAGCAAAGTAAAACCTAGGTTGAGGTAGATTTTCTATGTCTGAATATATTTCTTATTTTGTTTTAAGCATGTATTGATTTGAATGAGTAGAATTGAATCCACTTCTTCCTCTACAACATCTATTTATAAATTGGATGAGTCACATGTGTTGTATAATTATTGTTGACTCATAGACCAATCAATACATAACAATTTTAATATTGTTCAATTTTTGAAAAATCAAAGATTAGCATAGCAAATAGTGTCTAGAAATTGATGGGCTTCAAGACACCTTTCACTGCTTTAGATTGTTGAATGGGCCTCTGTCGTCGTCACATGCGTGTGTTGTCCATTCAAAAGTGTTGGTCCCTACTTCATGGAGATACATCTCGTGTCCCTGCATGCTAATAATGACGGGCCACCTTTTTCCACTTCATGATCGGGTAAATACTATCGACTCATTTTAAGAAATGAGAACTATGAAAAGATGACCGAACAACTTTATAAAATTTGACCGGGCAACTATGTAAGCTTGGTCAGTCACTTTTTTTCAAAACTTGACCGATCACCTTTTGACATGATCATTTAGAGACTTGTAAATATGACTATTCACTTTTTCTCAAAACTTGACCGGCCATGTCTAGGAGTTCGAACAATTATCTAATTTTAAAATATATAACAATCACATGCGATCCATTTGTCATCTGTTATATTTATATATGTGTGTGTGTGCCATTCAATATTTGATCTATCCATCACATACGATTCGTCTATCATCTATTTTAGTAATAGTTTTTAAATAATTTGTATTAAACAAAAAATTTATGAATTGTATAAATAGAAAAAAATCAAGAAAATAATACATTATATTAGTGATGTTTATGACGAAATATTACAATGAAACAATCTTTTAAGCTACAAAGTTTTTATAAATTGAGATACTCCGTATAAGACAGTAAAACAAATTCATGCACTCAAGAAAGTTAATCCGGTAAAATTTCTAATTTCAATCTCTAAAAGTAAATATTTCTTCCGTCCTATTCTTACAATAGATGTCATTCTAAATTATTTAAAATTCACGATAATTTTTATTTATTTACGTTTTTCATTGTTTATTTAATAATATTAATAATTATTGTCACTTCTTATTTTTATTTTGTAAATTTTAACATAATTCTTAAATATATAAATTTAACATTTTATTTATATACTAATTTTTAAATATAATAAATTAAAAAAATGTTTCTTATTTTGCGGACAAAGTCGATTAGCCTCCTTGGTTTAGCAGCACCATCAATGGCGGCGTCTCCGAGTAGCTTATTACTCACATGGATTCTAATCCAGACCCTCCCGACCTTCTATCCAGCCATCGCTGAAGCCCTAGGGGTGAATTGGGGCAGGGCGGCGTCTCACCCTCTCCCGGCGGAGACGGCGGTGCAGATTCTCAAGGCCAATAGCATCACCAAGGTGAAGCTCCCCGAAGCAGATCCAGAAGCTCTCGAATCTCTATCCGGTTCCAACATTGACGTCACGGTGGGCATCCCCGATTCCATGCTTCGCAGCTTGAATTCCTCTTTGAAGGCCGCCCAGAGCTGGGTTCACGATAACATCACCAGATACTTCGCTGAAGGTTCTTCTCGTGTCCGAATGCAGTAGGTTCTTTTTTCATTCCTGGATTCTGAGCTTGGTTTAACAGTCTCTCATTTCAACTTATAACTCCAATTATCTAGACTATAGTTATGAGATTCCACACTTTAGATTTCAGTTCATATTAAAAAAAATACTTTAAGACTTCAACTTCCACACTACAGGCTTTTGACTCCCATCTACGAGCTCTAGGTAAAATTAAGCTGAAAAGAAAGAAAGAATGAATGATAGTTCAATTTGGATTTTGTTGTATTGATTGGTTTTAGGGATTTACATTGGGAAATTCATTGCATTTGGAGTGTGATCTTGTTGTGGTTAGTACAACACTACAACCCCTTAGCATTAAATGTTCGGTTGATTTTGTAATCCTTGTGTTTATGTGGCTGCGTGACATTACAATCCTGAATGTTTGATACAAGAGGACAATTTTCATTTCTAAGAATGTGTTATGGTATGTATGGATCCAGGAAAAGGTTTGGGAATGAAAAAAAATGGTAACAGTGAGTTATTTTCGTGTGATTGGTTTTACATTTTAACAAAGAAAAATGCAACATTTCAATCGCCCGTTATTCATTGTTAGAAACATTCTACTTATGGCAACCCAGTCATATCCAAACAGACCCTTACACATTGCTTGCACATGCATTCACAGGTATGTTTTGGTTGGAGATGAGCCGTTCCTTGAGACTTATGGCACGGAGTTCTATCCTTTTCTGGTTGGGGCAGCCACAAACATTCAAACAGCATTAGCCAAGGCCAACTTTGCGAAAGAGATCAAAGTGGCAATCCCATGCAGTTTTGATGCGATTCAGTCTGAATCTGGAATGCCACCAAGAGGAAATTTCAGAACAGACATCAACAAAACCATGGTTCAAGTCCTGAAGTTTCTTAGCCACCATCAATCCCCTCTATTTGTGACGATTTCCCCTTTTCAGAGTTACCTTCAAAACAAGAATGTCTCCCTTGATGCTGCTCTTTTCAAGGAAAATGTGGGCCCAAGTCACGTGGCATACAAAAGCAGCTTTGAGTTAATCTATGAAACTCTAGAGTCAGCGCTGTCCAGCGCTGGATTTCCCGAATTGGATATAATCATTGGGCGTATCGGTTGGCCAACGGATGGTGCTGCTAATGCTACACCATCCAATGCAGAGGTATTCTTAAAAGGGCTTGTGGAACACCTTAAGGGAAAATCTGGAAATTCACCACAGTCCAAAAAACTACCGCTCCAAACTTACCTAATGAGCCTTTTGGATGAAGACAAGAGAGGCACGGCTAGTGGGAATTTCGAGAGACACTGGGGAGTGTTCACATTCGATGGACAAGCAAAGTACAATGTAGACTTTGGGCAGGGCTCAAGAAAAATGGTAAATGGCCAAAATGTCCATTACCTTCCTTCGAAATGGTGTGTGGTGAACAACAACAAAGATTTATCCAATGCAACTGCACAAGCGTCATATGCATGCTCTGCATCTGATTGCAGCGCGCTGTCCCGCGGAGGATCATGTTTCGACATTGGTTGGCCGGGTAACATCTCCTACACCTTCAACAGCTATTATCAACAGAACAGCCAGAATGCAGATGGATGTAACTTTGGAGGGCTGGGCTTGATCACAACCGTTGATCCCTCTGTGGGTACCTGCAGGTTTTTTGTTCAACTTTCGACATCTGTTTCGGTATCTCTTCACACATATGATCTTCTCCATTGGTTAGCATCTCCCCTTGTATCCATTTTGTTATGGCTACTCCGCGGAGTCAATTGGGAGTGATACTTGCTTGTCTTTTGCAGCATAGTCATTGAGTGCTTAGGAAAGTTTTGATTTTTTTCCTTTCAAGAAAGCCCATATCGGCATGCAATGAAGCCAATGAGTTTGGATTGGTAGTTGGCTTATCAAAGAATTTGGCCATTTGGGGTTTCGATGTAAGGTTTCATCTGTACTGTTTGGTTAACTCAGTGTAATTAAAATTATGTGTTACTGCCTGTAATTCCACTTTTAGGGTCTGTTTGGTTGGGAGGGGATAGGAAGGGAATGAAGGGATGGGAGAGCTCCCTTCACCTTGTTTGGTTGGAAGAGAGGAAGGAAAACATTAAGTAACTACATATTTTGAGGAGAATGAGAGAAAAGAAGAGAGAAACCAAATATTTAATCAATATCATGGTTTGCTATATTTTGAGAAGCTTGCTATATATAACAAGCTAAAGTTAAAATTTATCAAGTGTGCTACTCCGTATAATAAAGCAAGCCCCTTGGAGCACAAAAATTGAAATGGATTGCTAAAAAATGACATTTAACAAGCCAACACTCAATGGTTGGAGATGTTCTAACTCATTGGTTCGGGTTACGCGGGTTGGAGTGTTACATGGCAAATGAGGCATTATACCGACAACGACATCTCTTATATCACGAAGGTCTATTTTACATTTTATGTAGTTCGCAAAATCTACCATAAAAGAACATCTTTTTTCCTTTTAATAATTTTTTTATCGATGTTAGGTCTTACACTTAAAAAGAGATTCAAAATTATGTTCTATGTCATATCGGAGATTTGCTTCAATGTCATGGGAAGAGCCTTCGCAAATACCCAGCTATGCCACAAGCAAACCAACACGGAATTCAGACTCCAACCAATCGAATGGTTTTTGATGAGATGTAATATGATCGCGTAACCTTGGCGAGTGAACACATCACCATTTTGGGAATCATTAAATGATGAACAATGTGCAACGTATGGTGCAATAATGTAATCCGCTAATACAAATATAGGGAAAATTTTCTTCCTTTACGAATACAGTGGGACTAACTGGAGAACTTTATAAGCTGCATTGCGGTCTAAAGGTGATATAGTCTTGAATGTCGCATATTTTGAATATAGAGGACTGAAAGTTCCCAATAAAAAGTACTTTATCATATCCTTATACGAACCGTACGAGCATGTCCTCTGTCACCCCCACCGCGCTTACGGCTCTATACCCCAACCCAAATCTTTTGAAGTATACTTTTCCACAAGGCATGCATGCGAGGAGGGCTAGCCTATGTGGCATAGCTTTCATGTGCTACTTTCTTCTCTTGTCTTCTCTTATAGGGACCGCATCAGTTCTCTTATATACGTATATACGCTATATGTGGCTGCTTCAAGTAACCGAAGGGAGAATCCTTTTTTCTTTCTTTCGATGTAGGCAAGGGAACTGGTTGCAAAAACGGTCAAGCCGAAGCTTCGAACGCATGAAGCATAAATTATAGGTCTTAGACCTTCTTTGGTCAAGATCCGGGCGCATAACCAACTTGAAAGAAGGTTTTGATGATATCACTACAACTGGTTCTGTTCGAATTTTGTTCAAAGCGGGGGAGGAACAGCCAGTGGAGTGGGATTTCACAAAATGGAAGACGATGGTGCGATTTTTTTTCCAAGGAGTAACTGCAGCAATTACCTCTACTCTAAAGGTAGATTTGGGTGAGCTGTTGGAATTAGTAGCAGTGTGACTTTATTCTTTTTCTTCTTTCAAAGACTGATTGACTTGGCTAAAAGGTAGTGAGTGCAATGATGCAGAGAAGTTGGAATATAGTCAGTGTGCCGCGAGTTACTCCTTGTGCACCGTCAATCAAGGCTATATTCACTATGAAAGAGATTAGGCTCTCGAAAGCGAGTGAAAGTAACCCTAACCTGGAACGAAGACTCAGAGCAAGCATTTGAAAGTATACGATAACACCATCTCTTCGCACTATAGGAGTCGCTTCCCAGCCTAACTGAGCAGTCTCCCGGCGGATAGTCTCCTTTCCGAAATGGGTATCTTAAAACACTTCAAAAGGATTTCGTTGTCTCTCCTACTCTACTATATAAGATAAAATGAACCATATAAGATAAACTATGTAAGGTAATAAGGTAAGGCCCGAGCGATCATCTGGCAATAGATTAGAGAAGGGTCCCGGTTTGGACAATGAAGATGAAGATACCAACCCGAAAATAGGATCCACAAGACAGCAAAGTTCGACTTCATCTAACCCCTGCTATGATGCATGCACCTATAAATCCCATTCATCGTCCCGATTTCAAGATTTGGAGTACTGGGGCGGAAACCCATTAGCCTCAAAAACAAGAAAGTTCGCCCATGCTTGCATATTTTAGTAAAGTTACAAGTCTGGCAGAACCTTCAGGGAGGGGTTCCTCAGACAAACAGAATCCATATATCTTTTAGCCAATCCACAGGATGGATCTACACCTTATTAAATTAATAGAATTATATTTCGATTTGCGTCTACCCTCTCTTTTCCTTTCATCGACGGGAATCACTCAAATATCATAGCTATCATAACGCGCTTTTCAAACCAGTTGAACTACTAACTTACAGACAATAGAAGAAATCCCGGATGGAAAGTAACCAACCTTCAGGATATGCCTTACAAGGGTAAGAAAGGCCAACATCCGAAAAAAGGGCGGGCGACGCCTTAGTAGCCTTCATGCGCGAATGGGATCAACAACAAGCTTCTCTTTTCAATTTCTCATCTCTAGATCCCTTTCGAACTACGAATGACTTGATCCTCTAGGAAGCCCGACAAGAGCCACAGTCAGTTTCAATGCCTTTCTTATTAACGAATATCATCATTACTTTTATCTAGTAGTAGAAAAGCCCATTCACATTTTAAAATCCCTTTGTGCCTAGACAAAAACTCTACTTGCAACATTAAGCAAGGAACACCAATAGCACAACTCTTAATAAAGGCCAAATTAACTATTTGAGATGAAGCAACGATGACACATAAGTATTGCTTTGATGTTTTAGATAGAATCTTGCAATATATTCTGTGATTTTCTAATCAATTTAGTGAAAACCAAATATTCAGAGGAAAATTTATAGTCTTTAGTGGAGAGTTCCGGCAAATATTGTCTCCAATTCCAAAAGGAACCAGACAAGATATTAATCCGTATTAAATTGACGATTAATTCTTCCTACATTTGGAAATGTTGCACTGTTTTAGTTTACCAAAAAACATGCCATTCCCAAAAAACCGCCTCAAATACTGCAAGTGTCGTTTGCGATTCCCTAGTGACTATCTACTCCATTATCAGTAATTCTTTTTCTCCAAGTTCATTTGATAAATGAAATATTAATAAATTTGATCAATTTCGGGTCTAATCGGTTTTGGGTCTAATCGGTTTCGGGTTTTATCGGTTCCGGGTTTTATCGGTTTGGGTTAAGTCGGGTTCGGATTTGAATCGGATCTGAATACATTTGGTGTAGATCATTTCGGGTGTTCGGTTCTATTTCGGTTCTTCAGTTTTCAAGTCAATTCAGGTTCGGTTTCGGGTTGTTCGGTTCGGGTTATCGGGTCCGGGTCAGTTTTGCCAGGTCTACTCCGAACTATGAACCTTTCATGTCTAAGTGCATCAATGCTTTAAAAAGTAAGCTCGGTGCTCTGTCTAATGAACCTTTAAGGAACCTTTTACCTTCAACCAAGCAACCATTATTCAGTCTAAATTGGGGTTCTCCATTAAGGTTAAAAGCCAGCTGATTCAGTTGGTTCTCCAAAACCGATATAGTTAAACACATCAATTACCCACATGACCAGGAGTTGATCAAAAGGCTAGTCAAACTGCATGCCCAATACATGATCCGCGGTACGAATCCCGTTTTCGCTAGGGCCCTTGAGGATCTCCTTAATTTTGAGGGACCTCTGGATGGCGAGGAAAGTGATGATGAAGATTGATGATGAGAGCTAAGCGAGAAATGCCTGAGTTTACGTTCAAAAATATGCTATTTGGAATGCTATCTTCCAAATGTTTATTTCTGTAGTATGCGCCTTTGTTTTGGTTTTTGCCTCTTTTTGCTGTTGTTGGAGTAAAATGTCTGAGTTTATTTGATATATGGTTCAATACCTAAGTATGGCTCGCCGGTCATTATGTATTTTGGTTTCCATTTTTGTTATAGCTACTGGATTGAGAACGAATGATACTTGCTTGACTTTTGAACCAGCTACCATTATTTCGTGTTCAGGCAAAGTTTTGATTACTTTTTTGACCTTAACGAAACTCTATTTTGGCACTCAATGAATTTGGCCAAAGAGTGATCACATAGAAGCTAAGGAAGGTGTATGAATGACTTTTTATGATGGGGTCATGTTTTTACATCCTAAAGAATGTATGCTACCATTGTGAGTGTTCCTAGCGAATGTTTCCACACTTCACCCTACTGCTACCTCTGTCTCTAAGGTGTTAGCGGCGAAGACGTCCATCTGTCAGACCAAACGGACGGAACAGAGATGCCGTGACCAATTTGTTGGAGAGTAAACACGAAGAAGAAACCTATGATTTTCGCTCTGATACCATGTAGAATTTTAGCGGAAAGCTGGAAACTGATCTAGATTTCATTAATCGTGAACTGATATAAATACAAGTACAGAAATGGGCCTAACCCAATATGCTACCATAAAATCTACGGAGTATATACAAATATCCGCTAACAGTATTTTTCTAGTTTTTTGCAGCAAATCATTTTTAATCTTGTACAAGAAAGTGATTAACCACATATGCTACAAATAAGGGAGCCAGTGCTATACATGTGGAGACGAGCTATATGTATGCTCCATCTAAGAGATAACACAACAACGACTTGAATATTCAAAATGAGATGAGCATAACCAAGTATTATCCTTAATAATATGTTTAGTTCAAAATTACTCTTATGAACTTGATCAATAATTAAATAAAAATCATGTTGCTTGTTAAATGTGGAGTATAAAAACAATTTTTAAGATTTGTTTTCCAAACAACTATTTTACTATATATTACTCCCTCCGTCCCTTAAAAAACTTTCCATTTTGATTTTTAAAGGATTTAAAGGAAGTGTATTTTGGTGTTACTTTCCAAAAATGTCCTTTGATGTGATTGATAAAGTAGGATGTAATGGTAGATTAATAGATAAAAAGTGTGATATGATTGGTAGGTTAAAAAGTAATAGGGGTAAAAGTGATTTTTTAATAGGAAAAGAGAAGTATTTTTTGGGACAGATGAAAAAGAAAATGAAAAGAATTTTGTGGGACGGAGAAAGTAGTATTCAATCTAATGCATTTTTAATTTAGGCCCCGTTTGGCATCAGCGTCAGAGATTAGAGTTAGCGTTTTGAAAAAGCTATCCGACGGTAGTCTTTAGCGTTAGCGTTTTCAGAATTAATCTGCACCGTTAAAATTTTATCCAAAACGCTAACGCTAATCGAAAAAGCTGTTACCAAACAAAGCCTTAATTAATAATCCATGCTTATTTAATTAGGTCGAAGAGGTTAAAATGAATTGATACTTTAAGATTGAGTACATTTTCCTAGTGCATTTGAGAAGATATATATAATACAGAGTAAAATCTATTATTTTGTTATTGAGTAAAATTTTCATTTTTTCATTCGATGTATTAGTTTATTACGTTAGAATGAATTTCAAAGGGAGCAAAATTTCAAGTTTTTCTTAAAATTAAAATAAATTTTCATTTTTTCTCTCAATAAAGAGAAGTGAATGAGCCACATAGTATACTTAAGTCGCTAGTGCATGAATTACAAAATTATAGTACTATAAGGGTCCGTTTGGTACATGGAATTGATGGAATTAGAATTGAATTGGAATTAAAATTTCATGAGATTTAATTCCATAGAATTGAGTTCACCAATTACAATTCATTTTTTGCATTAACAATTTCAAATCTACATAATTTTTATGCTACCAAACACGAGAATTGAAATTGAAGTCTTCAATTCAAATTTCATAATTTAAATTCCGTGTACCAATCGGGGCCTAACTACTAAATCGTCTCAAATGGCACTTAAACCACAAGTCCAAGATTTAAGCGTTTTCTAATTTTCTTTAAAAAGTATATTGTGTGACCTAGTTTTGAATTTTGAATGCATATTTACTCCCATTCCAGTACCAAATTTTATTCAATTGAACGCGCCAGTTTTACTTCTCGGCCCAGAAGTAATATTGTCCATGGAAGTCTCGCGGGAAATCTCCCTCTTCCGCTCCCAAATCCAAAACCGAAGGTGAAAACCCGCACTGATTTGGTTTTATTTCTCTTGGCTATGCTTCGAATAATCTCATTTCCAATGACGACGAAGGCGACCCGTTTGTGTGCAGATTCGATGACGCAACTCTCCGAATTCTCGAGTCCATTTTAGTCTCCGGCGACGCGAAATCGCTTGATCAGATCGCCTCCGCTTTGAAGGATTTCATGCGACGCGAGTCTCTCTGTATCCTCCATGAAACCAGCGCTCTCAGATCTGTTGACGATCATCTTCTGATTGTGGAATTTCTCGTCCGCGTCTTCGCTCTTATTGCCGATGATGAGGTATACATATGAAGATTTTAGCCATTATCGGTTTTTATGTCACTGGATTGTTGTTCTTATGCAATTCCAATTTTCCATAACTGTCTGGTTTGATTCCCATTTGCCGTGTAGATAGATTGCTACACAGATTCATTGGCGATTAATTTCCGTATGAATGCTTTGATTTTATATTCACATTGGACATGGATTGATGCTTATGTATTAGAAACTGTAATCATATAATGTTATAAGGCTTAAGACAGAAACCACTTTTTTTTCTCTCTTAAGTTTGCATCCCTAATCTCACCGTGCCAAGCCAAGCCAAGAGAATGAGGAGTTAGAGTTGTATAGACTGTCTAACCGCTGAAACAATCTGTCGAGGCAGTTGTTACCATTCCATATACAGAAAAGTTTTAGATCGTAGTGTTTGCACCACTTATTCACTTAATGGGGAGGTAGGTAAAGGTTACCCTCTGGAAAGAATAAATCCCATTCGCTTTGGGTCTTTGATAATACTGCTGGTTCTATAGTTTATATCTATTCGTAATTAGGATCTTATTTTTTCTATAACATTTTGCGAATTTTGCATTGCATAGAGTTGTCTGGCGTTGAGGTACGAAGCATTGCTATTGCGAGAACGAAAGGCTCCCACTGATCAGAATCTTCGAGTCTCCTGCATTGAATGGCTTACATTTGCGGAACATTCATTTCAGAATGGTTTTTGTTCTATTGCTAGAATGGTAAAGTTTATATTATGCAGTCCTTTCGTTAGTCTCGATTCACTATATATGTAAATAAGCTTCGTCCACGCCACGTGCTTGCTATTCAATCCTTCCATGCAGTTTTTTCAACTTTAAATTACTTCCAAACGTTTTTTATATTGATCTGAGTAAAGTTTTCATTTCTTGTCCGTCTTTCACGTGTCTTTCTATGTTGTAGGCATGTGAGAAGGCATTATCATGCTTTGATGCAGGTAGCAATACAGTTGATGGTCAGACTGGTGACTTCTCCAAAAATGTGCATTTGATTGAAAAAATCAAGAATCTCAAAGATGCTGCTTCTATCACTGCTTCTTCACATTCTGGTATCATAACTTTCATTACTTTGTTGATTTGCCAAAGATGGTCCTCTGCTAGCACTCTCAATTCTCACCTTGTGCGAAAATTGCACCTCAATAATATAAGTCCATAACTGCAAAATGCACCTCAATAATATCATGATATAAGTGCAAATTGCACCTTGATAATATTATAACTGCACACTGCACTCCCAGTGTCAAGCTATAATTGAACAATCTCTTGTTAAAACTCATAATTGCACTCCCAATGACAAGCTTTAACTGAACAATCTCTTTTTAAAACTCACACTGCTGTGCTTAACTGCATTATACTCGTTGTTTATGCTATTGGCCTATTTGGTGGGTTTATCAGTTCAAGCACAGGCAGCAAAATACTTAAAGAAGAAACCGGTTGCGAGAAATACATATCAACCTTTTCCAGTTATCGAAGCTAATAAAGGTTATGGAAGTGTTTTGTTCCGGGAAGGGATTAAAAGACGTCACTTACGGAAGTTGCAGGTTGCCAGAAGCAGGCTGCCTCCTTCCCAGATGGACTGAAAATTTTCCAGGTTTTTCCACCTATATTCACCACTTCCCATCTTATTTCACTAGGGAGAAATTTCTTCTTGTAGGCCTTTTCTGCATTATTGGAGGCGCAAAGAGTTCCACTGACTTTATTCTAAACTTGCTTTGATTCCAAATTTGGTAGGTGATTCCACCCTTTGAGTTCCCAATTCTAAAAGCAACAGAATTTAGTACTCCCTAACTTTTTTTTGGGGAACTACTCTTGTACTCATTCCTTCTAAAAAAAAAAACACTCCTTATTTTCTATTCAGGACATCTCCAAAAAAATCTCTTTCTTTTTATGGAAAATTTTGAGTGACTCGCAATCTTTCTCTCCTCTGTATCACCTTCAACCACACATTTTTGCTTTCCTTAAGTTTTCTGCCAAGTCAAAATGAAAGTTTTTTAGAATAGAGTATAATTTTAAGATGTGTAGGAATTTATTTTGAACTCAATTAAGGGCCTTTATTCACAAATATGAAATAACTGTTGATAATTATGTGACGAAGGGGATATATATGTAATTTTTTTAATTGTGCAAAAATAAAAATAGAATTTTTAGCTATCACTATTAAAAACTAAATTAAAAGTTTCACACTAAAAAAAGTGACATTATGATATTTTTTCAAAAAATCGATGAAAATATGTAAAGAAAAAGATACTCCCTACCATTTCATTTTGTATGTGAATAGTAATTGTAACTTTAATTAATATTAAAAAAACATACACAATGTAGTGACCTTCTCATCGTGTCCACCTTGTCCCTTCTTCCTATGAGCGTAAGTTTTTGAAACTGCTAAAACTCACATTTAAATAGGGGTGGGCAATCGGGTCCAGGAATCGGGAGTCGGAACCGGACCGCTAGGTTCGGTCCGGGTTAGGGTTGGGTCCTCTTTTCAAAAATTTCAAACGGTCCGGGTCGGTCCGGTCCTTACAAATTTTAGGGTCGGTCCGGTTCCTCATTTTGAAATTGTATTGGACCCGGACCGGACCGTTTTTTTAAATCCCAATATTATTTTTAATATTATTTTTAGTAAATATACGGATATATGGAAATACACCCGCCTAAGCCCTTCAATCTTTTGGTCCTTCCAATCGCAGGCAGAAAAGTAAGAAAACCTTTCATAGTCAGAGAGTCGGAACCCATGAAGATTGTGAATTTTGTTCTTTTTGGAACCCATTGACATTATAATGCCAAAATATGGTTGTGTTCTTTTTTATTATTGTTGTTGGATGATCATGGGGTGTACACTTTATTCTCATGCCCCTCTTTGTCATTGTTTTATTTTCATTTACGCCTCTTTTTTTATGTTGGAAGACTTAAATTAATTTATTATCCCTTTATTTTTTTAATATTAGTATCATGATAGGTTCGGACCCGTTGACCCGTGGAATCGGCTCGTTTCAAACAAGCCGGGTTAGGTCTGGTTTCAATTTTAAAATTTTGAAAACCCGTTCCGGCCCGGACCGTTTTAAAAAAAACAAGTCGAGTCCGGTTTATACAAATCTTGGCTCGGACCGGCCCATGCCCAACCCTACATTTAAATACTCCTTTTTTTAAAAATTAATTAGGATTTCATTATTTCAACATTTAGAGAGATACTTTATTTACTAAATATAGTTGGGGCATTAAACTATAAAATATACTCCTATATAAATGTCCTATGGAGTATTTAAATTGCTCCTAATATATATCGCACAGTCGCACTTAATATATTCAACTACCTTTGTAACAGTGATAATATGATAGTTACAATGTAACAAAATAGTGAATGTGGTAATGTAACAATGACAGTGTAAACTTCTATTGTGGTCTTAAATGACTTAAGATTTTAATTTTGGTATTTTCATAGTTATTTTACTCATATCTAGGAAGTTCTCGCTTTTTAGTTTAAGTCAAAAAATGTTTCGTAGATGTGAAATGACTTGGATGATAGACTAGTCATTTGAGGTTAAATAGTGAGAGATAATTTTGTAAATAATTTAGTTGGATCAAAAAATAGAAAAATATCTTAAACATATGTAAAAATTTACCTATTTTGTCTGACTTTTAAGTAGTTTATAAGCACAGAGAAGTTTGTCATCAGCTGATTTATTTATAAATTAAAAATAATTTTGGCTAATTTGTAAGCACAAAGAAACATTATGTTAGACTTAATTAATTACTCCCTCCGTTGACTAAAGTAGAAATTAAGGGAGGGATAATTTTGTGTTGACTTTCCAAAAATAACTTTGATGTGATGGGTAAAAGTATGATGTGATGTGTAGATTATTAGAAAAAAGGTATGCTGTGATAGGTAGGGTTTGAAAAAGTAAGGGTTAAAAGTGGTTTTTTAATAGAAATGAGTAAGGAATTGTGGGACGCAATTTTTTTGAAACGTGTAAATCTTTTTGGAACGGAGGGAGTATTTAATACTAATACTTCCTCCGTCCTAAAAACATGGAAGGTTTTGATTTTTAAGGGATTTAATAGAAATGTATTTTGGTGTTGAGTTTCCAAAAATGTCTTTTGATATGATAGGTAAAAGTAGGATTTAATGGATAAATTAATGGTGAATAGATGTGATGTGATATGTAGGTTAAGAATTAGTAGGGGTAAAACTTAAAAGTGATTTTTTAATAGAAATGAGAAATTTTTTTTGGGACGAATGAAAAAAGAGAAATGTTTTTAGAAACGGGGAGTAAGTTAGTTTACACTAACATTCTTTTCCATATCCCAAAAAAAATCATTTTCCCTAATTATATACTCCGTATATACTTTTTGTAAGCCCTAATAATTCACAACTCTTGATGCCTATTATATCGGATCGACTGGTTACTAATCGTCGCTGCGTTGTCGTCGTCACTATTTTGATTATTATTATGTACGTACGTATCTATACACACGGATAGTATAGGTCTCTTTGGAAATAGCGTTAGCTTTGAAAATGCTAACGATAAATGTTGTCCGTAGACAGTCTTTTCAAAACGTTAACGCTTGTCTTTAAGAGCCTGTTTGGCAATAGCGTTAGTGATTAGCGTTAGCGTTTTCAAAGTAATTTACACTGTCGAAATTTTATCTAAAATGCTGATGCTAATCTCTAACGCTATTCCCAAACAAGCCTTAATTAAAGATATATATTTCCAAACATGCCCTATATAATTTTAGTTGTGTAAAACACATTATGTTTGAATCTTAGCCTATTTAAAACAATACTAAAATAAAAAATAAAATTAATTTATTTATGTTGAGAGTACCAAAGTATTCTTTTTGCTTGTAACTTTTGTTCATCGTCCTTTTGCGAACATAGGGCTAGATCTTCATGACTTTTATCTTCTTGTGTCTTTGTCTTTGTCTTTGTCTTTGTCTTTGTTTCATTTTAGGTTGTTGTATGTTTTTAACATTTATCCAGTATCTTTCACATAACAATATAATTAAGGTCAATGCGGTTGAATTTTGTTCAATTATGTATAGTATATCATATTATAACTTCTTTCTAAATGCTTGTCTAAAATCACTTTTAACTTATTTTATTTACATATTGTTATATAATTACATATGAAATGTACTCCGTACTTAGGAATTACAATAAAAGCTACTGTGTAATAATTTCAGTGATAAAAATGCAATTGGAGATAATTTCTATTATATGAATCTGAAGTCAATATAAGAAACAATGATCTTTTAATTAGTAACATTCCGTAATCGTTTTGTCTTTTTTAATTGCTTGTGTGAAAAAAAATATAATCGTATTGGAACTTGAATCCACAATATAAATACTCCCAAATAAATGTTATAAAAATTATTTAGTTTAAAAAAACTACATTTTAAAATAAGCTCAACCTTATTAAATTTATATTATAACTAAATATACTTTTTCTATATATTATCGTCAATTTTTTTCAAAATTTAATAAAAAATTAAAAAAGCATATAATTTTATGAGAGGAAGGAGCTGAGTATCATTCGTCGTTGTCATCTTTTCATGATTTCATTCTTTTTTCTAAAAAAATTATAACCAGTATTGTTTAAAGAAATATTTCTTCTGTCTCAATGTCTATTATGAATTTTTCAAGTCAAACTAAAAAAAAATTAATCATGAATTATTCTCAATTTGTATAACATATTAATACAGAGTACAATAAAATCAAAGTTTAAATTTAATAAAATTATTTTCATACTAATAACATTACATATACGGAGTATAATTTAATTTATGTTAAAAGTTTGCCTTGTTTAACTCAAAAAACTTTTCAATGGATACACAAGGTAGAAGGTAGTATGGAACTATGCAACTCACAGCATTCACTTTGTGGAACAAATTTTAATTATTAACATTTTACTTTAATTGGGAAATGAAGGGAAGCGAGCATATTCTTTCTCTATACGTTTTTTTTTTGTCATTTTTAAGGAATAAAAAAATACCATACTCTAAAATAAAATTTGATAGGAGTAGTTAGAGACATTAAGATAGAATAAGTATTTTTTTCTGTGCATGCATGCATGTATATATGTTTGTTTGTTTTGCAAATGTCTTTTCAACAACATTGTCCCTCGTGTATAGTGTTTGTCTTTAAATGTCGTAAACAGGATTGGAGCAACATTTTTCTAAGATTTGTAAGTCACAAAATTAATACTATTATAATTTATCTTTACACAGATTAAATTGAGGGGAATTTATGTAAATAACATTAAAATATAATGACTTTTCTTAAATAGCATTGAATGTGTTTTTTCAATATAACACTTTTAGTCATTATCCATTAGTCATTATTCAAGTACATGTTCACCATCACTGGACATTATATAAACATTATTAAGTGCTATTTAAGGAATAAAACAGTTTAAACACTATTTAGAGAAATAACTTAAGTTTTAGTGCTATTGTTGCAAATATTTCTAAATTAAATCCTAAAGTGATGATGTTAACTTAAGAAAGTACATAAATGTTTTAATTTTTTAATAAACGAATTAAATGCAAAAGCTCGGGTTAGTGGTTTAAAGTTTTGTTTTTGGACTTCTTGAGTATTGATTTATTCAACACGTCCAAAACATGCAAAGTTAATATAATGATAAATTGAATTTGATTAAACAAGATAAACAATGTATGTGAACCATAAAATCTCTACTTTAAAATGAACAAAAATGTATTTTCTTAAATTTTGAGAGTACGTTTTGGATTATCCAAATTGATTTTTTAATTACTCCGTATATAATTTTATTTGAAGCAAAGTAGTATCCCTCCGTTCCAAATTATTTGTCACATTTACTTTTTTAACTGTCGCGGGGACTTTTGTTTATTTCTATGTTTTCATTGGTTATTTGATAAAATAAAATATTCTTGACACTTCTTATTTCAAAAAACTTTTCATGTAGTTTTTTGATATGTAATTTTTGTTTTTTATTTCTTTATCAATATGTAAATAAAATGAATTGAAAAAACTTAATATTTTGCCTCGATAATAAAAATGTGACAAATAATTTGAAACGGAGGGAGTATATGATTTGTTGTCATATCACATTTACTGAATATGAAAGTATGGATATGGGTATCTTTTATCATAACTAATACGGAGTAGAATTAATTACTACTTGTAGACCAACAGAGAGCAATTATGAGTGTATCCGTAACGTTGAAATTGGTAAACTTATTCTTTGATTGACTGTGAATTTGCCGACCCATTTTATGCACAGTGACGGTGGTCAACGCTACTCCTACACACCACTACCACCACTTGATTTTGACTCACTAGATAATCTTCTAGTACCTTCGTCCACCTAAGATCTTCCCATTTCGCGTTACAAGGCTTGATCGATTTTATTTTCAATTCAATTTTGTTTGAATATAAGGGTAAAATTTTAATGTAAAATCTATGTAGTAATAATTTTGAAAAATTCTACAAAACAAAAGGTGACAACACTATATGGGGGGAAGATTCCCATGACATTGGGAACCAATGTCATGGGATGACCCGGGGGCGCTCCGGTGCCCCATTCGTAAAATTTTGACTCCAAAGTCAAAATCAACTTGTGGGGTGCAATTGAAGTGGGGTGGGGGTGTGTTCGGGTCGGGGCGGGGTGGGGGTTTACCGGGGGGTTGGGGGTAGGAACCGTCAATTTTACGAATGGGGCACCGGAGCGCCCCCGGGTCATCCCATGACATTGGTTCCCAATGTCATGGGACTCAAGGTAACACTATATTATTTTATGAAATGAGTAATAAAAATAACTAAAGTGAACTAAGTTTGACGTTGTGAATAGTGTCTGAGAAGATCTATAGTGGACAGAGGGAGTATCTTACTTTAATTGTAGCTACTATGTATTTTTTTTATTTTTTTAAAAAAGGGTCTGAGAGAAAGTAAATTAAGCTACAATCATAGAAAGACTGGCAAAGGCTTTATGCCTAGTAAAGATGCCTCATAGCGGAATTAGCAGGAACCGAACTCGAGTTTATCCCTTGACGCTCAACCAGAGCAGCGCCACTGGCACAATTTTTTTAAATTTTAATATTATTATCAATGTATTTTTTTCATAAATTGATATTTTTAATTGCTCCCTCAGCTCCATCTAGCTCCCATCTCGAAATAGATTTCTCTTTGTATGTTTAAATTGATCATTTTATAATATTAAATATTTATGTCACCTCTTATTCTGTAGATTTTTTTATGTACTTTTATACTTTATACGGAATATTATTTATTTTTCTACTAATTTGTAATAAAAATAATATTAAAATAATGGAATTTTATATATTGTTCGGAGAGTGACATTCGTTGTGAGACATGGAGAATATTTTTTTAATGGAAAACACTAATTTAAAAATCACTATAGGGTTGTTACCTGAGTTGGAGGCGGCCAGGTAGGGTGAAAATAAAAATCACTGAGAAATTCAACGGAGCCTGTAAAATGCTAAAATAGATCGAGTGTGAATATATTAACACAGATCCAATTGAAGTGTTAAAACAACTTGATTGTATCTAAAATACTTAATTGAATTAATTAATCACGGAGTATTTATGTAAGTATGATCAAATTACTTTTTGATAATTCTACGGTTTGACCTAACTATAATCCACAACCCCTCTTTATAATTGATCCTATAAAAACTAAATATATATAGCACCACTTCCAAAATAAAATTATCCCTCCTAAAATATACTCCCTACGTCTCTAAATAGATTAGAATTTTTTTCTACTCTTCTCTCGATAACTTTTGTTTGTTCACGCGATTTCGTTAAGTATTTGATAAAATAAAATATTCTTGTCACCTCTTATAAAGTAGTAGAACTTTTGACGTAGCTTTTTAATATGTAATTTTTATATTTTATTGATATACCAATTTGTAAATAAAATGATTTCAAAAAGTAGAAAATTTTACTCCGTAACCCGCAATTTGTAATTTATTTAGGGACAGATCTCGCACTGGTTTTTTTTCATATTTCAACACCGATTCTGACCACAGTACACCCCAGGCCCCACTGTGGTGGCCCCACGGGGTATTTGCGTTTGTTTGGTATATAAACGGGGTGTCTGTATTACCTGATCATTATGCATTAGTCATTATTCAAGAAAATGTTCAGCATCGCTAGACATTATTTCTCCAATTAGACACTATTCTGTCTTATTTTGAGAATAAAAAAGTTTAAGTTTTACATCTGAAAATGACTTATGTTTTAGTCCTATTTAGAATAAATTTTTCTTTTAAATAAATCGCAAAGAGAAAAATTGAAATTAATTTTTCTGTACAAGTAAATTATACTCCGATCCATATTAATTTTATGTTATTAGAGTCACATTTTATACTCCGATCCATAGACATTATTAGAGATCTCATGGAACAAGCAAGCTAAGGTTTAATAACATCTTTGACTTTAAAATTCAAACATGATAAAGTTAATTCAAGCAGACGAGAAGATAATAATAGGAAAAAGATTAAAATAGTAATAAAATATTGAAAATATATCAAAATAGCAATTTCATGTTTTTATTCTCGAAATAATAATAAAAATATATTTACATTACCAATCATGACCATGTACATTAACAAAAAGTATAGTAAAATGTATACTTACAGTGTCACATATATTACCACAGTGAGAACTCTTATGTAGAGAAAAAATACTACTCCATATGAAACTTTAATTTTGTTATTTTCTCTATGTTTTACTCATGTTTAGGGTGATTTCTTTATTTTAAAATCATATTTCCTCCTTTTACTCAATAAACGTAATTAAAAACTCCTTTTAAAAAAATTCAACATTTAATATTTTATCATTATAAAAACATTACTCCGGATCTAATAATGGTATTTAGATTTTCACATTTTTAAAGTTAATAGGTACTATTAATAATTGATAAAAAATATTAGCGCTAATTGAAAACGTTAGATTCCGCATGGTCTAACAAAGTAAAAGTGTTTTGTTCTTTTCTACATGAGGAATAGCTAGCTTTAGCGAACCAGAAAATATTTCTCTAGAAAATAAATTTAGAATATAGAGGTGATATGAATATGTTATTTTAACAAATGATTAGCGGAGGATATATATAAGTAGAAAAAGAAAAAAAATATAAATAATGAAATGAGACAATTAATTCGTGATGGAGGAGAGGAATACAACATTTCTTCTTCAAAATATAGTTTGCATGTGACTATGTTGGTAGACTAATATAGATTCATGTTTCCCATAAGTTAAAAATAATAATTAAAATAGGTAATTAAATTAATAACGTAATAAATTAATCAACTACTGCATGTGGCGATTATAAATAAGTAATATGAGCTCATTCTATTCTCTTCTTTCTTCTCTTCCCTATTTGTCTGTGTAACAGTCTTATAGCCTCCGTTCATCAACGCCGAGGAGGAGTTTCCGGCAACTAATTAGGTTTAAATTTAAGTATAAATAATAATGGGCGGGGGAGGAGGCGGCGGTGGCTCATCTTCATCGTCATCATCTCCGTGCGCCTCCTGCAAATTGCTGAGGCGGCGGTGCGCCAAAGACTGCATCTTCGCCCCGTATTTCCCTCCCGACGACCCTCACAAGTTCGCCATCGTCCACAAGGTCTTCGGCGCCAGCAACATCAGCAAAATGCTCCAGGTACGTCTTAAAAGGGCAATGCTAGGGGTACTCTATTTGTGTATGTCCGTTACTGTTTGGTGTACAAATGAAATACTTCATTTTGGTGTACTCCTTGGTTAATTCGTCTTAAAACATACCGATAACAAAAATTCTTCGGCCTACAAACATAAATATATAGTTTGTAATTTTTGATTCATTTGAGAGTCTTGCTTACTTAATTAGAGATCATGAGTTTGAATCTTATTCTTATCGTGTTTAAAAAATGAACGTTTCTTGAAATAAAAGCATTGACATTGTATAATTTGACAATTTGACATTATATATATGTTGACTGCATTTTATATGAAAAATGGTATAAAATTTAAAAATAAAAATTACATAATAAAAAAACTATATCAAAAGATTTACAAAACTAGAGGTGACAAGACTATATTATTTTATCAAATATGTGGCGAAAATAGGCTAGCAAAGCGAATAAAGTTTGACCCTGTAGATAGTGAACGAGAAGTTTATTTGTGGATGGAGAGAGTATATTGATACTCTTTACCATTATATGTTCTATTTAGATATATACACGAGTAATTTACCTAAATAGGACTAAAACATAATGACTTTCTCCAAATAGTGCAAATTTCACTGTATACAAACATTACGTGTTTTTTAAAGTTATCTTATGGACTAAATATGAATGAATAAAATGTACATCCCAGGAGATCCCGGTCCACCAAAGAGGCGACGCCGTGAGCAGCCTGGTGTACGAGGCGAACGCGAGGATGAGAGATCCGGTGAACGGATGCGTTGGTGCGATTTCGTATCTGCAGAACCAAGTGGCGCAGCTGCAGGTCCAGCTGGCGGTGGCCCAGGCCGAGATCCTGCGCCTCCACCAGCTGCAGCAGCAACAACAACAAACTGCCGCCGCCATCTTGCCAGTGGCTCATATCTACTGTGGCGGCGGTGGGGGTGACGGCGACCACCAAACACCGCAGTCGTTGCCAGTTTCGTCCCTTGTCGTGTCGTCGCCGTCGGCAACTGCGGCCGCCGTGGCGGCAAATATGAACGGCGCAAGTTTGACTAGCTTTGGCAGCCTTCAGCCGCTGCAGTACTAATAATAGCCTATTCTACATTTTCGTCAACAAAAAAAAGTTAATTATATATACTAGTAGTGATTAATATAAATTATCACTCGATAAGTACGTGTTGTAAATCAAATCATCATAATACAATATTATGGCTTGGCTAGCTATCTGCGCTAGCTAATCGTTTCTTTGCTTTGCTTTTGCTTGGATGAGAAGAAATTGTCCATCAAATGATATATATTATTCACGTTAAAATCTAATATTGGTCTTTTAACTTTATGAGTTGTACACGATTGGTCATTCAAAATTTAAAAGTCCATAAAAAATCCTTCAAGATTTAATAACCCTCCACATGCACCACAAGTAATCCTTCAAGGGATTACTACTTATATATATAATAAGAAGTACTTGTACCTATACGTAAGTGATTGTTTTTTCACCTAGGTTCTCATTACATTGCCCGGCAATGTCATGGGATGACCCGGCGCCGCTCCGGTGTTTCGTTCGTAAAATTGACGGTTCCTACCCCCTAACCCCCGATAAACCCCCCATACGTAAGTGATTGTTTTTTCACCTAGGTTCCCATTACATTGCCCGGCAATGTCATGGGATGACCCGGCTCCACTCCGGTGTCTCGTTCGTAAAATTGACGGTTCCTACCCCCCTAACCCCCGATAAACCCCCCACCCCGACCCGATCTGAACACACCCCCCACCCCCTCCAATTGCACCCCACAAGTTGATTTTGACTAAGGAATTAATGGGTTTCCACAATTCCAATCATAGTTTTGTGTTCTTTACTATACTACCTCTGTCCCATTTTATAACGCCTGTTTCGGTTTACGATGTTTGACTGAAACTATTTTCAAATCATTTTATATGACAAATGGTATAGAATTAAAAAATAAAAACTACATATTAAAAAACTACATCAAAAGATCTACAAAACTAGTAGTGACAATAATATTTTATTTTATCAAATTGCTAACGAAAATAGAGAAAGAAAGTGAATGAAGTTTGACCCTGTGAATAGTAAACAGGCATTATAATTTGGGACGGAGGGAGTACAAATTAAACCATTTTGAAAGTACAAAATTATACCAAGTATTTACAATGGCATGAAAAGACCCATTGTGCTGCGCTGCTTGGAGGACAAGGTTAGCGACGGGCACTCATTGCAGGTCGAAAGTTGCATCTGGCAGTGATCTGAGGTGAACGATATATATATATGGAGCTAGTTGCATCTGGCATCCATTGCGGGTCAGAAGTAATATATATGGAGCTAGTACTCCGTTTAGCTTTTTACATGTACCGTAAAAAAGACTGCATTTGGAGGGTTGATGAATAATTGAAGGACTACTTATGAATTTCAGAAACTTGAAGAACTGAATTTGGAAGTTGTTGAATACTTGAAGGAGTGTTTATGAAACTTTGAAACTTGAAGAACCAATCGTGCACAACTTACAAAGTTAAAGGAACAATGATCGATTTTAGCCTATCTTTTGCCTATTAATTCTCTCTTGATTGTGTTTTATAATTTTACTAACATTTTGTATAAAAAAAGAGTAGATAAATCTAAACTTTTTTTAATACTCCTTCCGTCCCAAAAAGTTCGTTTCAAAACGCTAACGCTAATCTCTGACGCTGATGCCAAACGGGGCCTCAATCTCGATCTCATTCCACGTACCCGGTGTTTTAAGATTATTTTTCAAATGACCCGTGTTTTTCTAACCACCAGTTCCGCCAGCGTTTTTTTATGTTTTTCTAAAATTATCAAATTTACCATTCCATTATTATTCATGGACTCTCCTCGATCTATACATCTAATTTAGATTATGTTCTTTTGGACTGAAAAATTAACTTTTAATTTATTTCAACAATGACTCTAAAAAGTATTTATATATGATGAATACACAACAAATTATATTTCCAAATTTATTATATATCACATCAAATACGGACAATGATTAATTCTTTTTTATCAGAAATTATAATTTTCTTACATATCTAGCTATTTGAATGATCATTTAATTGAGAGAATTTTTAGTACTTAAATTCTTCTAACATATTCCAACTTTTTTATTTTTTTTTCCAAATTCATTCGAGTTTCTTCAACTATTTCTAGTTTGTTCTAACATTCCATCTGAGTTTCTATCTCAATAGAACATGCATGGCTTTAGTCATTCATTTTTTCCCGATCATCCAAAATTGATTGTTTACTTATCATATTCACTAGAAATATACTTAATAGTATGTCGTCATTATTGTTAATTGTTAAAAAAACATTTTTGTCATTATTGAAAAAATTAATTAGTTTCAACTCTGTAGTACGTTGTAGTACGTTATTAGTAATAAAAAAAAGAGGAATTTACTTAAATAGCACTTAAACATAATGACTTCCTCTAAATAGCACCACATGTGTTTTTCTTCCCAATGTAGCATTTTTAGTCATTATGCATTAGTCATTATTCAAGTAAATATTTGTTATCACTGGTCATTATTGACATTATTAAGTGCTATTTAGGGAATAAAACAATTTAAGTGTTATTTAGTATGCAGATATTTTTAAAAAGCCGGCTAATGAATTTGAATGGAGGAAATATTTTTCCATTATTAACCCTTTTTACCTTTGAATATATATATATATATATATATATATATATATATATATATATATATATATATAGGGGCGGCTCAAAGGAGGGGCAAGGTGGTCATTTGGCCATGGCCCATTTTTGAATGGGGCCTAATTTTTGTATACCTACATGTATATATATTTTTTTATATAAAATAATCTTGATTTATTTTAAAAAATACAGTTCTAAATCATTAAATCTAATAAACTATAAAGATGTGATCAACTTATTTTCTCTCAAGAATAATAGAACAATTTCATGAGTCTTCAGTCAGGTATCAGAGTTCGGAGTATATAATTGCAAACTTATAAGACTATGAGTCTGACATTTTATTATTACTACAATGTTATATATTATTAAAAAAATTAATTGATAAATTTTAATTTTTTCAGACAATGACGCATTTTCTCTGTGTCGGACAGGGCCCCTAATTTCTTGGAGACGGCCCTGTATATATATATATAAGATGGCCATTGCTAACAAACTTGTTAATAAAAAATTGTGAATTAAATTGTAATTGCATGAAGTGTTGTCAAGAGTCAAGGCTCACAAGAGTCAAACTAGGGTGAATACTCCCACGTAAACGAGTTGCAGCATTCATGTATGGTAACTGTAAGAAATGTGATACGTGGTAAAATATTTGGTCAAAATAACCATTACAGTGTAAAATTTTGCTTTATGTCATTTTTGGCTCTCAATCCGGTCAGATTCAATCAAATTAAAAGGTTAAAAAAGTGGCTTTTATAATTCTTCTTGACAAAGGATTCAATTATGAGTTTATGTTTGTGATTTAGTTGATTATTCTTGATAGTTGACATAGTAGCGTATGACATATCTTATGGTTCATTTGAAAAAAAGAAGAAAATAATTTTGGAAAAATAAAGTTTGAAAAGTAAGTTATAATTCAAAAGATATTTTTTTGAAAATGACAGTGTCATTTTCAAAAAAATATCTTTTGAATTATCTTTTGAACTACAAAAAACTGTTCTTCATTTTATGCATGATGTCATAATCTACATCAATACAAAAAATTGATCTTCATTTTATGCATGATGTCATAATCAAAATGTAATATGATAAAATCACTATATCTAATAATGCCGGTGTGATCACCGGTTTATAGTTGACGCGAGAGGATTAAAGAGTTATTTTGTAAATTGTTAGACATGCAGCGTCAAGCACCAGTGGTCTAGTGGTAGAATAGTACCCTGCCACGGTACAGACCCGGGTTCGATTCCCGGCTGGTGCATTAATTTTTTTCCTTCTGCAATTTGAGTTTTGACTCTTGCCAATAATAAGACTGAAATAATAACTCAAAGTTGACACCTCACAAACATCATTATATACGGAGGTGTAAGAAGAGTTTTGGTGGTTTTTAAGGAGAGTTGAAAAAAGGTGAAAGTTTACCATAATACCCTTAATGAAAAATGGGTGGAGTTTATTAAATGAGGTGGGTGAGGTGTAATAAATAAAGTAAGTTGGGGTAGTTGTTGTATTTTAATTGTTAAAAAATGAAATGAGAAGATCTATTGTGGACAAAGAAAAAGGGCTATTGAGAAGATCTATGAGGGACAGAGGGAATATATTTTTAAATGGTGGGTAATTATGTACACTGTTGTCAAATTACTCATCTCTTTTATGTGGATTTCATTTGACATATCTTAACAATGTTCTCAATATTATACATCATAATTAGAAAATATTATATTTTCGTTGCATATAAAACAATAATTCTGAAAACAATAACTGTGAGAGAAAAAACTTTCACAAGTGACAAGTCATATCCATGACAAAACAATAGAGTGGCGAGTGTGTCATAAACAAATTACATTATTTATAATTTTGGCCGGATTCTCTTTAACGGTTTAGATTCACTTAAATACTAATCTAATTGTAGTTATATGTAAACATACTTCTGATATGATTTCAAGAAAAACTAATAATTAAAAACATTAAAGAGGACAAACTCATATTGTGTTATTTTTTGTGTGAATCAACCAAAATGTTAATGTACCAACTACTAATTCAAAGTAGATATCACAAGAAAGTAATGTCACATGTACCAAAACAAAGAAATCAATGTTACAAAAGGTTTTGCACTGAAAAACAATGTTTCCTTCTCATTGACAATCCACAGCTNCCCCCCCCCCCCCCCCCCCAAAAAAAAACCCAATAACTTAAAAATAAAAAAATGAATCTCTGCCCTTGATGGAGGGGATAGTTAATGAACAGCAATTTATTTAGGCTTAGGCACCAATGTTCTCAATGTTGGCACCCTTGTCCATCCTCTTCAGAATGCCGGCGATAACCTTTTACAAAAGAACCAAAAACAAGCAGATGACATGAGAAAACAAGTCCTAAATAACTATAAAAGGTAAACTTTTGAGTTTCTTTGTTTAAAAAAATCACCTTCCCGGGTCCTAATTCGTAGCTCTTGTTGAGCCCTTTTGTTAGAAGAGTCCTTATTGTTGTCTCCCATTGAACTGGGGAAGTTACCTTATAGGTTACAAAACCAAAGATAGTGTTATTTTCATCAAACTTTATGCTTGAGATAAGCAATTCACTTTATTTACCTGGCGTGCCAATATTCTCTTAATCGTCTCTGGATCTGAATGTGGCTCTGCATCAACATTTGAAATTACAGGTATTCTTGGAGTTCTGATTTCTGCTTCTGCCAAAGCGGCTTCCAATCTTGGGACAGCTGGCTCCATAAAACCAGTGTGGAAAGCACCAGCAACAGCCAATCGCACCTGACAAAACAAACCGTATATAAGGAATGACTATGAGCCCATTTGGTTAGTAGGGTGAATTTGGATGAAATTGTTAAAGTTTCTGAAAATGTTGCATTCCGGGGAAAACCAAAGAAGAAATTAAAACATGCCATTGATAAAAGAAAGAAAAGTCAATTAAAGTAGCAGAAGTGATTAATTTATTCGGCAAGAGGGCAACTATAGCCAAAAAAGTATGTAGCCATGGTCCTTTTATTATTATTATTATTAACCATTTTGGCCCTTGTAATGAAATACCTGGAGTACCTTATTTCTTTTTAGTAAAATGAAATGGCGGATAAAGCTAATAAGCCAAAAAAAAGTCTAGTAACAGCCAATATGAGTTCATAACACAAGATGAAATGAGCATGTAATTAGGAAATACCGCCATTCGAGCTTTGAATGACTTTGCCTTTGCCTGTACTACTTCCACTCCTTTCAAACCTCCAGAGACGGCGTAATTACCCTAAAAGAAATCAATACTATCAAGCTTGATTACAAGCCACTAGTTCCACGGGATAGTAGAGAACATACTAAGATCATAAAAGTAATCAGGGTGAGTAATAAAGAGCCCTACAGGGCATAAGAAATTTGCAATCTGAACTCGGTCGGCTTCATCAACTTCTTCATTGGCTGCATCACACAGTTGTTGAACCTTCTCAGAGTCAAGCCCAATGATACTGACCATTGCGCTTTTGGCCGCGTCAGAAGCGTCCTGAGGATGATGGTAATTCAAAATGTTTTCATAATTGTGTGATATGCAATAATAGAAAATTAGTTATTCTATCTGCATTACCTGCATGGCTTCCCCTCTTAGTTTAACTAGCTCGAGGCCATCCTCAAAGCTATGAAAGAAAATGTCATCAGGCCAATTACAATGAGTAATCCATGCTTATTTCAATATATACATGTAGTAAACAATATGTCTCGTATAGTATTAAATCTTGGAGTTCCATTCTAGATATTCAGCCTCATCAGAGTACCCAAAGTCTTGCAACTTGCATTGTGGTTTGTTATTTTGCACTCGTCCCTAAATAAGGACCACCTTTGCTTTTGCACAGATGTTAAGAGTTACAGAGTAAAACCCTTCTGTGTAACTAAGATTTATCTTTTAAAAAATTTAAAAAATAAACTACACATTCCTTTCCTGAATGAAAATGGTGAAATTTATTTGGGCCAACTCAAAGAGAGTTTTTTAGAAAGGGGGGGGTGTGTAATTTAGCTGAGGTAAGCCACTTTCCATCATACAGCATAGTAACCCACCTGAAAGCTCCTGCAAATGCAAGAGCAGTGTATTCTCCAAGGCTTAGACCACATGTGACATCAACGGAATCAATTATTTGCTGACCTCCTTCACGGGCCCGGAGGATCTCCACGGATGCTAAGCTTGTGACATAGATAGCTGGCTGTATGGGAGAATATTAAATAAATGGAGGTCATACATACACAACTAGTTGGAGGAACTTCTCTGTGTGCAGGTTAGAAATGGACATGAAAACTCATACCTGACTGATTACAGTAGAATCAAGCTTGTCTTTTGGTCCATTCATACATATATCCAAAAGGTCAAATCTGATAAAGTTTAAAAACACTATTCTATAATTGATTTTAAGATATAAAACAACCACCAATCATTAAATACAAGCTGCAAACATGGCAATCAGTTCATGTTTACAAAGAACATTTCCAGTCTGTGTAGTATGTACCCCAAAATCTCATTTGCTCTTTTGTATAATTCAGCAGCGGCTGGTACTTTATGTGCCTCTATGCCCATTCCCACCGCTTGGGCACCCTAAATATTAAAGTGAAGATAGGAGAGTAATTAGCCGAAATAGCCCTATGAGTCTAAACAAGCAATATTAAGCAAAAGAAAAAAAATTTGGCTTCCAGAGAAATGAACACTTTATACAGTTCTTTATTTACCATCTCCATTTAAACAAAAACATGTTAATTCAGTTTGGTCAAAGGTCAAGAAAATTCAAAAGCCTCTTTCCCTCATCTAAGAGAGGAGCAGAAAAAATCAGCAAAATGAACATCTAACGATAAATAATTTCCATTTTCAATCAATGAGAGAACCCTGGAGATTAAACTACTCACTTCTTTGGGTCACCAGTTAAATTCTGTTATCCTTGATTATTCCTATAACTCTATGACCAATAAAAAGTTTGTTGCCTCATCAACATTATGTTAATTTTGGTTAGCAGAATTTTGTTGGCCAACATTTAACAGCCCAACCCAACTCTAGCAGCTTTCTCCCAACCCTAACAAGATTGACATATATACCCTATTCCCTACTGCTGTACTACCCCGATTTCTACCTATATACGGAGTATAACCCATTGTGTGTGGTTTCCTGAATGGCTGAATGTGTGCACAAGTGTCCTAAGAACCCAACAATTAGTGCGTATTTTATTTGTAAAATGGGCTTGACGAAAATAGTTGGGCCCGACTAGGTCTTGATGTACACATGTATACATACCGGTTGACAATGAATAGTACACAGAACAATTTAACGGTAAGAACCTACATGGTATCAGAGCAATCCAGACCCAATATTGCATCCAACTATTTACTTCAAGCCCATTTTACATAACTAAGCCTTAGTGGCTTGTGTAATTGAGCGTCTTTGTGGCTGAGTGTCCCTGTGTATGTTACACTATACCCTAGTGGATTTGTTGTGTGTGTGTTTATATGTCTCTGCCAAAGTATTGGGCTTCTTTTCCCTTTGTGATTCCCTCTTAAGGGTCAGACTAGTGAGAGAGTAGGAGGTATGTTTTGGGATTTAATGTGATTGGCACACCATAATTCCTGGTAGTAGAAGTGCACACTGAGAGCGGAAACGGGACAAGAAGCAACCTGAGGAGCTGAGCCAAGACACAACAGTGACGCACGATCCCAACAAAATCCCACAAATAAATCAATTTTCCAGTTGCTTGCGTAAAGATGCTTAAGAAAATAAATATGGTGCTGACATTTATTCAGGAATAAAAGAACTTACAAGAAACACAATTTCTTTTTTGGTACAAATGAAAAGAAATAGCATAAAGATCGTTCATTTTCAGGTTCTATTTCATATCGTTAGCTGCAAAATTCAATGGAAATGCATTCCATCACATTATCGAAATCACAAAGCGATCAGATATCATATTGAACGGAATTAGCGCTAAAAGCAGATCCGAGATCGAATTGAAATTGCAATGCGGTAGAAACTGAGGAAATCGCACCTGTCCAGGGAAAAGAAATGCAAGGGAGGGCTTATAATCCTTGAACAGGGAATCATCCGCAGCGGTGTGAGATCCAACAGAGGCACTCATAGAAACCCTAGACTTACCATAATCCAATGGTACAAATGCACGGCGAGTCCCATTCCTAAGGCCCAGATGGGTTGAGCTCCGGAGGGACTGCAGAGAGGTGCGATCAGAGTTGGTGATGGGAAGCGTGGGAAGCACAAGAGACGAAGCGCTCATGGTGGAGGAGTATGAGTGAGCTAGCGAGGAAGATGAACTGTGATGAAGAAGAAGAGGAGTGGAACGGTTGCGGAGGAAACCATGCATATATGGTGGAGGCATCCGGTCTCTATAGCCGCGATTCCAGCGAGGTAGCAGATATTTTCTACCTATTGCATTGAAAAAATGAGTGGAATTCCATTGACACTCTCTATTTCACTCTACTGGTGTCACTGTATTTTTGAGAATACTTCAATCGAAAATCTAATGAAGAATCAGTGGCACAGTTGTTCAGTGTCAACGAAATCGTGTCATTTTATGGAGTGTCTCAAGCATTTCTATGGCACCACTAGATTTCAGATTAATCCCCAAATATCTCAAATTGTGTTTGGAGTGAGATGAGAATATGATAAAGCAGATGCTATAAAAACATGTATGAAGAGAGGAAATCTACCTTTCACTTTGGTATTCCAGTCACTGCTAGCAGATTTAAAAAATCAAAATGCAAAATCTTGATTGATAAAATTAAACCTAGAATTACTACCTGGAGTAGTAAACATTTGTCATATGCCGGTAGAGTGAAGCTTATTAATTCAGTGCTCTTTGGTATTGATTAATGAAATTCAATCCATTAGTAGGAATTGAATTTTTTGTGGACAGAAAAAACTGGTTATACTAAAGCTCCTATTAACAGGAATGATGTTTATTTTCCAGTTAATAGGGGTAAACTTCGTGTAAAAATTGTGTTGAATCGAAATAAAGCCTGCATCATGAAGTTGAACTGAAATATTGCAAAAAAAAGACCCCTTATGGGTTGGGTTCATGCTAGATATATCAAGAAGAGAAACTCTTGGGAGTATGAACCTAAGACAAATCATCCTTACTATTGGAAATCTATGAGCTCAAGAGCAAATTTAAAGAGATGGATGTAAAAGGTAGCTACACTCTTGGAATAAGGGTACACACCCAAAGCACCAATTTATTTTGTGGTTGATCATGCATAAAAAATTAAAGATAAAGAATAGGTTGAAAGTCTTTATGCAGATTCCAAGTGAGTGTGAGTTGTGTGAAGAGGATGAAAACCTGGAACACCTCTTGTGGAAATGCAAAAAGACCAAAGACATCAAGTTAGAGGTATTCAAAGAAATTAGGGAATTACTTGCAAAGGAAACTCATTGGAGTCTATGGAGGAACGAATCATGAGCTGCAGTACGAGAAGGAAGAAGAAGCTAACAACAGCAGTCTGGGCAGCTTTTTATTATAACATATGAAAGATGAGAAATGGTAAAGGGCACAAGAGGATCATCACAAAGGACGGAATACTCAAGAACATCGACTTTTATGTGAAATGTTTTTCTTTATGTAAACTGAAAAAAGTAATATAGATTCATTTGGTTGGTTGTATCTGTTGAATTATATTTGGTAAATTAAAAAAAGTGTGTATTTTGTTCAAAAAATCTTGTTTTTATTTTATTACGTCCCAACAAAAGTTCATATGTCCATCCTTAGAAAATGTTTTGTGTGGCTTGTAATTTATCTTTTCTATATCACTTTTAATTATTTAATTTTATTTTTTGTGAAGTCCACGTCAAATTTAATTAGGAGTCATTTTTAGGACATAATGAGTAAATTTTTGAATTTCTTGTTTTTTATTAAAATTATTCATACCCTATTTATATTCATTTTCTATTTCATTTTATTATTTCCTACATCACATTATTTTTATTTCAAATCATATGTATACCAAAAACAATGGATTGAGGAGTAATATTTTTTACTCTATAATAATCTTAATTGTAAGAAAATTGACATAAATAATCAAACGTTTTCTACTCAATCAACAACTTAAAATACGGAGTAATAATTTATTTTTGTTTAGGTTTGAGAGGTCATATATTATAAATTTGGATATATGATGTTCTTGTATAATATTCATATGTATATTTACAAATTACACCTTGCTCATTTCATACATTTATTTTTTGTATAGACTTTGAATATAGACCATAAAAGTAATGTACGCATATTTATTAATGTTAATTTTATTGCTAATTTTTTGTAATTTGCTGCTAAACCAGCAAAAGGAGAATCACACAACATCGTTAATTTAAGCAATTTCGTTCAACAAAAATGTGTTCTAAATTATTTAACTTTTTATAAAGTGCAATCGTAAATAATTTAACACGTTATTTAACTTTTCTATATTATAAATAAACTCATTTATAATAAAATAAGAAACAAAAATTTAATACAAGTTAATGTCATTTTAAAGAAATATAATTATGGAATATTACAAAAGAAATATATGGTAGTTCATTTATTAAACAGTTTAATATTTTATGTTGATAGCAATTGAAACTTGTCAAAAATTATTACAAAAAGTTACAAACTTAGCCATAAAAGTTAAAAATTACTTGTGGAACTCAATTTCGAGATGGAGTACTTTGAAACTTGAAAAACACTCCTTTAATCTCATTTACTTACTAGAATCAATAACAATAAGTTTATGGTACATTCCTTTGACCAATAAAGGAAAAGGTCAAGGAAAAAAAACATGTATATTTCACATGGAATGGAATCAATGGATAACTACAAATGTACTACAAGGTTCCATTGGAACATATTTTCTAGCTGTGAAAAAATTGGGAACCACATTGTGATTGAAGCCAGACTCTGAAAAGCTTGTTTATGAAGAACCTGAAGAGATTTCTTGATTATATGCCCACATATCTCTCTATGTTCCATCAATGGCCTGAACTTCTTATCACCCTTGCTTTATCATCCTTTATCTCAAGCACCTGTACAATGAGTGTGTTTGGCAAACAACACAAAACGGGCGTTTAACTAGTCATTGCGACTTTTTTTGACACATTGAAAAAATGAGAGAATATAGACATGGTGTTTGTCCAGATACATTCATCATTCAACTTTCAATGTGTAACGGAAGTTTTAATGGTCAACTCGGTGACTGGAGGGAGTAGTAGCATACAGCCGTTTGACTAGCAGCTAGCAATTTGTAAAAATATATTTGGTAACTCAATAATAAGACTAGAATGCTAATGCCAAAATGTTAATCACATCAGCATTTTGCTAAGCATACTGCTAATTCAATACTCCGTATATTATTTTACCAAACACCAAAAATAGTAGTAGTATTTTGACCGGTCGATATGCTATTTTGGATCAATATGCTGAAAGAAACAGCATAATGCTAAAGAAACCGTTCTTTACCAAACATGTCCAAACATGTCTAGTAAAAAAGAGGCATATATCACATGCACAAATAAATACTCGTGTATGCAAGAGCTTGAGGATCTAAATGCAAATACACGTCAAGATGCAACTCTTAACCACGTAAAAAGTGAGAGTAGCTGAGGGTTTTGAATAGTGAAACATGCCCGAGTGAGTTGAGTTTCAAGACATAGAATTTGTTATACAATCACCTCTGGCATTGAGTCAAGAACTCCGCTAGACATTCCAACGTCAATGCACCATACACGACAATCGTATTTGCTACAAGGAAACCAAGATTAGTAAATTGCATATTATCACACAAATTAATGCAAAGTTAGGATATCATACTCAAATGTGTCCCACAAGTGCTTCTCTCCTCCAAAAATAAGACTCTTAGGATAAAATCCTTTTTCCTTCTCAAAAATAGTAATGTTTAATAAAAGTGGAACTAATTTTTTGTTAGTTGCCAAAAAAGTCACAAAGAAGTCCAATATGATAAAAACATATTAGAAGTCCATGATAAACACACGCATAATATACATGTATAGACACAAATACATACCAAATTTTTAATTGTATACTACATTTAGTATCAAGGTTTCAGAGTTATAATTTGAACTCGAGCACAAATGTTCGAGCCAATCAAACCAAGTTCTCAAAATCCTTTGAAACTTTCAAAGATTAACTAGTAGTTCATGCCTAAATTATTTGAAATGATCAAGCTCGACTGGAGCCAGTGCAACTATTTTGAGTGCAAACTCGAGCATGCATGAGTCCCTATACCGTAAATCCGAATGTACGGTGTTTCCCGTACATCCACGCGAATACACAGTTTTGAGTAACAAAATACTCATTTCGAATATTTATTTATTTTAGTATTTGTTCAAAGCATGAATATTATAAAATATATGTATTCTCATTTGAGAACTACATAATGCGCATTACATGTATACAGACTGTATATATAAGCAATATATAAGTAACATAATACTTATTTTAACTAAAATAATAGTAGATGTACAACTAAAATAAAGAAATATGTGAAACGAGTACTTTGTTACTCGTAAATGATTATTCACCGCGGATGTATATGAAATACCGTACAATCGGTTGTACTGTATATATTACCGAGCATGCATACGTTCAAATTGGGCTTGGTTTGTTTGAACCCAAAAAACAATCTCTTTTTTTTGGTATATTTTTCTACACCTTTATTAACGATGGTTCATTAAATAGGGTGTATTGTTATGTGTCCTACTGTCTCTATGAAAATTACAATTACCTAAGGTAACTTTTGTTGTTCATGTATTCAAAGGGAGCAACATCAATTGCATCTAATTAAGGCATCTTCGGTTCACTCGGGTATCACTATCAGAAATGAGTATGAGATTCCCTGACACATAGTACTTCTTGTTTGTTAACGGATATTGATTCTCAAAACCCATTACATAAACCCTATCAAACTCATTCCCTCATATTTTATATTCATCAACCCACTTCATTTGATCTCCAATCTGCCAGCCACCAACAGTAGCAGCAGATCTCTGATGTCATCATGACTCCAAAAATATCAATGGAATGCAATCTCTAATGCCTTGCTGGTCAAAGACAATGTCATTGGCCGGAGGTGGTGGCAGCATCAAGCCTCTTGCTAGAGTCATCCTTTTGCCAATGGTCGAGGGCGTCATCACAGTGACTCTGGTAGAACGCACCACAGCAGCTTGGAGAAAATAATAGAAGAAAGCGAAGAGTTGGTGGGTAGGGGTGAAACTAAAACCCTATTTTGGTTGCCGAATACAAACCAAATACCAGATATCATCTATCATACCTAACCTCATATCTTCTAATCCCCTTTTCCAATTCCAAATATATGGCAGAAAGTAAAATGCACCCATATTAGTATTGACTACCTCGTATTTAGGAAAGAATTCTGAGACAAGTTACAAAAGAAAGTTTCTATAAAAGTGTGTTATGAACATCTAAGGTGTTTGTTTAATTGTGTTAAGAAAGTTTCTCTTGTTGTGTTATATTAAGGTTTGAGTTTGTCCAAATTTAAACCAAATATATGAAACAAATCCTCAGCATTTTGCCTTCCCCTTAGGCCACTCTTCATCGAGCACCCTAAAGAGAAAATGAAGTGGGCAAGTTGCAGTAGAATGCAAATGCCTGTAAGTCTCAAAACATGCATAAAACATGTACGCTAATCGACTTCTTTTCATTTTTACTGTACTGTAGATCATCTAGGGCGTTTAGTCTAGTGTCATATGCTACAATTACATTTGTAGCAGGGCAACCAAATTAGGGGCTGTTTGACAACTTCTGAATAGGTAAGGCTGAACCAGTAAGAGGTCTGAACCATTAAGAGCTAGTATATTGCTTAACTATTCAGAGGCAAATGTCTGATCAATTCAGATAAGAGGTCTTAACCATTCAGACTCTGTATAATACTTAACCATTCAGAGGCAAATCTCTTAACCATTCAGACATCTGAACCATTAAGAGGCTGAAACAAACAGTCTGAACCATTAAGTGTTGAACCATTCAGACATCTGAACCATTAAGAGGCTGAACAGCCCCTTAGTAAATTGCAGGTTATTAAAATGAAATATGGAAAGCTAGGATCTTAAATTCAAATAAAATAGTTTTTTGGTAAAGCTAAGATGCAAATACCAATTCACTCCCAAGGGTTGCGGTGTATGTCCCACAACCATTGCTTTAGCACCTAAGACCTTGAGTGTCTCTTCAACAATAGATTGGATCTGATAAAAGTGAGGATTTAATTTCAGCCATCAAAGATAATCGAAAAAATATTTAACCTTAACAGCAAGAAATAACATGAAAGTTACACATAGTGCTTGAGAAGTTAGGTGTAGTCGCAGAGACATAAAGCAAACTACACCTTAAGTTAGACCAACCTGATTCATTTGGTAGTTTTCTATATCCGAGTAGTCCTTGGAGTATAACCGACTCCATACAACACTATCATAGCCTCTGGTAGCTACGAAAGGGATCTGTGGATGTTCTTCTCCATCAACAAGACCTCTCATCCAATGACACACTTCTCGGTTAATTCTCTCTATTCCATATGAAACTGCAATGCTCATAAAAGTGGTAAAGTTGTTAAAAACAGCAACAACCCACTAGAATCCCACAAGAGTAGCATCTCGGGAGGGTGTGTGTACGCAGAGCTTACCCCTACTCGAAAGTGATTCTAAAACAACAAAAATGCTATACAACTTTTACCATGATGAGGAAGAGTGCCACCATGGCAAAAAAGCCAGTCATTAACTTTGAGAATCACACCATGACGCGACAACTCAGAGGCTAATGGACCACCGTGCCTGAGGAGGATTGATCTTGCTCTAACACCTTTTTGCCTCTGTCCTAATATTTAGAGAACAATAAGAAAAATCAATTGAATGGACAACAACAACAATATAAGGGTTGCATATTTCTCGACTCTCATGAATTGTTGAATACTTGAATACATACTAATTCAAATGGTGGAGAATCCAAAAGAGTAAAGAATAACGGATATTAACAGATTAAGCATCCCACATTGATTAAATGCAGAGATTCAACAGCAGCAACTACAACAATCTAGTAAAGGCACACAAGTGGGGTTTAGGACATTAAACGTAAAGATTCAAACTAGTTTTTTTGGGCTACTTGCAAATCATATCATTTTCTGTTAAGGATCCGTGGGGTAGGGATTAGGGGAAGAACATACCTTAAACAATTGCAAGCTATCCCCACAACTTTGAGACATATTCCTTTCCTGCTTCCACCTATCACGCTCGGAAAACCAATTCGGAAAGGCTTTTTCCCAGTCACCTCCATGCTCTTCTAAGTACTCGAGGAAAACCATACACTCATTGAATGCCCCAGAAGTAACATATCTGAAATCCCCTTCTACATTCATGGTTTCATGATTTCCAATTACCTATCATTTCCAAAGGCATAATAAAAAACTTTCAAGCAGCCTAGGAAATAAGATTAATACGCTTGTGGACCTAAGGTTTAGCAGTTCTCAGATTTGAAATTGTAAAAGCACCAAATATCAAATTTCAAAAAGATTTCACAGGAGCAAATAACTAAACCACCAACCCAGTAAAATCCCACAAGATTATGGTCTGGGAGGGTGTGTTTACGTAGACAGAGGTTATTTCCAAAAGACACCCGGCTAAAACACAGTAGGAGAGGCAGAGTTCCAGAGACAAAGTACTAGCAAATAACTAAAGAGGTGCTAATATTTTTGTCAAAGATGTTGGTGAAAATAATAATTTCTAGCAATGCCATATTCACATGTGGGCAGAGGGTTACACGAGTTGTGATGCGTGTGTGCAAACATTGACAAATGACAATGCCATACCCTTGGTGTGTGATCATATTTCGCAAATAATGTGCCGGAACAAATTACTCACTTCATTCCTAAAAAGAACCCTATTTTTCTTTTGTAATTTTAAATTCGGACCTGGAAAACTGCTCCACCGCGAGCTTTTGCCTGAATATCCAATGACCTCAACAAGGATAAGATTGCCAGTTCATCTTCTCCACGATCAAGTATATCCCCAAGCTGAACCAACACCTGATAGAATAATATACTCTTCATATCTAAGATTAAAATACTGTGTAAACAAGAGGTTATAGTCTTCAACAGTCGGAAATCCATACTGTTTCTCCACCAATCCATAAGTCCTGACCATCACAACTCAGGACGCCGGCAATCTCAAACGCCCGCCTCGCCTTATCAATGTCTCCGTGCAAATCCCCAACTAAGAACAGTTTAATAAACTACTTACAATCATGTAAAATGCGCATAAAATGTAATCATCACTGTAATAAAATTGAACAGTTACCGGCGATAATTCTGCGGCCGGGAGCGGAGACGAAAGTAGGTGGATCGCCATGGACGACCACGGGCCGTAAGCTTCCCGAGCTGCCATTGTTTCCGCGCAGAGGTAATACGCGTCCTGGTTTTCGGAGTGGTGGTTGGGTATAACTGCTTCCATTGGAAGAAAGCAGCGGTGGTACGGAATAGCTTCCGAACAGCGCGGCGGCCATTGATGTGGCACCCGATTACTCTAATCCGCACAAGGGCGTCTCTTACACCTGGCAATAGCTTCAATTTGTTCCGTTCCCGTTGGGGTCTTTTCAGCGTTCGTCTTTTGGATTCAGGTCTCATTAGAATAATTCGAATATATCTTATAATCAATTCGGGTTGGGTCAGTTCGGTTCTGGGTGAATTTCGATTTGACTGTTTTTTCGTTTCAGTTCGGGTTTGTATCGAATCGGGTTTATATCGTTCGAGTTTGTATTGGTTCGGGTTTATATCGATTCGGGTTTGCATCGATTTAGGTTTATATTAGTTCCAATATATATCAAATATTTATTAATAAATCAATAATATCACATAATAAATTTAATCAATTTATGATATACTCCGTAGTTATTTTATTATTTAACACGGACGTACATAAAAATTAATTAATTTCGGGTCTAATCGGTTCCGGGTTTTATCGAGTTCGGGTTTAATCGGTTTGGGTTTAATCAGATTCGGATCTGAATCGAGTCTGAATACATTCGGTTTGGGTTCGGATCATTTCGGATGTTCGGGTCTATTTCGGTTCTTCAACTTTCGGATCAAATCGGGTTTGGTTCCGGATTATTCGGTTCGGGTTATCGGGTCCGGATCAGTTTTGCCACGTATAGCGTCTCTTGTCTTGTGTCACAATTTTTGTAATGAGTATTTATTCATTTTTTTACTTTTTGTTGTTGTTAAAAATATCAAATTTTGATTATAAATTAAATAAAAGTAATATTAAATATTATTATAAAAAATTTAGTAGATTTATTTTATAAAATGTTTTTTAACAAATACTTTATTTAATTAATATATAATATATATTTTATTTAATTATATATTAAAAATTGAAAAGATTTAACTGTAAAAAGTTAAAACTGGACAAGTTATGTGAAACAGATACAATATTTTCATTTGAACTTCTCCATTGCCTTGAATGATAGGAAGTTCATACTCTAAAATTTATAGGAAAGTTCATTTGGATTCGAGACCTGATGGAGGCATTGACTCATTGTGAATCATTAAGAAAGTGTATTCAATCATATTCTGAAAGATTTCAATAGATTATTTAAAGTCTACGAATTATGTAAAATAGCAATCAATTTTCTTTTATTTTTGTTACGGAGTACTATGTTGTAATCGAGACAATATCAATCAATTTTACTTTTTTCTACACTTAATCGGTTATCATCTAAAATATTAAAGATTTCAGTTTGATTATATATGAGATTGTCCATGTTCACTTTACAATATAACTTCTGTTAACACAAGATTCCAATATTTTATTTAGTATGTGTTTATAATATTATATGGAATAATATAATATAGCTAATAAAATTGAGAGTATATTTCCACACACACACACATAGCCCACGCACATTTTCCCATGTATGATTTCCATAATAGTATAGTATATGAAAATAATATTTTACTTTTATATCGAAAATAATAATAATAATGTCAGATAATGATATTGTATAAAAATAATATAAATAGCTAATAAAAATTAGACAACATTTTCACACACACACACATATATATATATATGCATCTATGATCTATTATTATTTATGGAAATAATAGTATAGTATACGAAACTAGCTATTATTACTTTAATATCGGAAATAATATGCACATTATTTATGCATTTTACATGTGAAAATAATGTGTTGTGGCATTTAATATACTCCCTCCGTCCTAAAAAGAGTTTCCTACTTTGATTAACGTGCAAAATTCCATAAATTTAAAAATGATTTTATTTACAAATTGATAAGGAAATAATACATAAAAAAATATATTTAAAAACTACGGAGTACATCGAAAACTCTACAAAATTAGAGGCGACAAGAATATTTTATTTTATTAAATAATTAATGAAAACACGTAAACAAATAAGAGTTATCGAGAGGCCGTAATAGTAAATAAGAAAGACTTTTTGGGACGGAGGGAGTATTATTTATGGAAATAATTGTGCCTTTAGTGACATTATCATGGAACAATTTGATTTATCTGATCCGACTGATATCTGGTGGATAAGGATACAATTTTAGTTTTTAGTATTAACCAAGATTTATATCCGAATTCAATAAAAATAAACAGATAGAGATGTTTATACTTCGTGTATGGAGCAATCTCCACATGATGAATAACACTTTTGGCATTTTTTTAATGTAATGGCTTAAAAAACATTTTTAACATTATTACAATGCCTTCTTTTCCCCTCCGGCTCGAACCTGGATTTCCTACCACACACTCAAGCAGTAGAAGTTCCAATTTCTTACTTACTCCCCATGGGGTACTCCGTAAATGGCATGTGTTTCACGTTGTGGGGTAGGGTTCTCTCCTAGAAAGCCTCAACGAAAAAAAAAGAGAAGAGGATTGGATATCCAGCAAGCTATCTTCATGGCGATAATCCCAAATCTGCAGGCAAGCAATCGACCGTCTCTCTCCAGTACATGTTAGCTTGAAGACGGCGAACGTCGATCGATTTGTATCTTCTTCTCTCCTCACCGGGCGAGATCTCTCCAGGTAAATTGAGAATTTCTCTGTTCCTATTGCGGTGCACTGTTTTGCTAAGTTGCATTCTGGTTAAGAGACAGGACTGAATTTCATCAAAATATGGCTACCGGATGACATGTTTATAAAAGTTGAAACTCCGTGTTTAAATCTGTCACCACTGTTTTTGTCCATTTTTTTTCCCATTTTGGCCTACAACAACTTAGAATAACCTCAAATCCTTTGAGCCTTTGAGGCATGTGGATCAAGATGTGTTCTGTCTGTTAGAACCTAGATGTGTTGCTGCATTTGCTGCCCAAAACTGTATAGGGAGTAAGAAACAATAGAAGTTTAATGTGCATTTTTAATGTATAGGGAGCAGATAAAAATGCAAGAATAATTTTTAACTTTGAAAAAGGGCAACAATTTGCTCTATTTTTTCCTTAGACAATGTTTGTTAACTTTCTGGCATAAGATGCCTATATCCGGTAGGGAATCGAACTGGCAAGTTATTTTTTGAATTTCGGTTCTAAGTGAATCCAGAGCTATTGGTAAAGTATATATATATATATATATATATATAATATATATATATATATATATATACACACACACATACACATACACATATCACATAGTATTGATTTCAGTGTTAACATGAATATTGTTCAGTCAATGGATGCTCTCGGTTTTGCGGTTTGCCTAATCTGTTTTAAATATTTCTTAAGTTGATTTTGGTAACATGGACAGTTGGATACTGCTCAGCCTAGTTAGACTATTACAATTTAGTCTTTAAGTGTATTTTGATTTAAATTTACTTGGAGAGACCTTAATTTGGTTTAGGCGCAGTCTTCGAGAAGGTGAATTATGTGTATGCGATTTATTTATGAAAGAAAGAAAAAAATATCACTTGCATAGCTCTTTCTTTAATAGGAAAAGAAAAAGTTAAGTTTTATTGTGAGACAACCAAAAAAGGAATTAATGAAATTTCTTATGAGAGGGAGGGATTACGATTTATTATAAAGCATTGAATGTGTTCAAATATGTTAATTGTTACTCCACTAACATGGTTTATCAAAGACATTTCTTGGATGTACAAGAATCTATCCTTCGAATCAAAGAAAATACAAGAATGAAAAAATCTATATTTTTAACTAAGCTTGAAAATAAGGAATATGAATGTAACTTTATGCTATAAGAGTCAGAGACAGTCACATAGAGTGCCTAATTGATACATTAGGCTTTATCCTATTTACTTTGGAATGTCTTGCAGAGAGTCGGATACAGTCTCATAGAGTGCATAATTGATAGTGAAAATGATTTTTGTACACCACACTTGCACTACTTTTATTCCTTATAACTTATTTGTAACTGTAATTATAATGATTGGATGATCATAATTTTTAAAAGTGTCAAGGAATTGCATAATTCTTAAAGCGTGATGACAGATGTGAGATGTCTCAACAACACTCTACAGCTATACAGCCTATACCGTTTATCCCCCCTTTGCTCCTGCTTCTCCTAATTTGTTCTCTGCTTCTCAGTCCTCATTACCTGTTTCTCTTTTATATTTTTCATTTTTGCATTTCCAGGTCTGGCACATTAAATCAATAATTCAACAGCGCCCTTCTGGACACTCACTCGAGAATCACCCCTCATAGGGTTCAACAGGTGAGATAAGGAAGGGTTTGAGAATTCTTTCATTGCATAATTGTGGGTCGAACCGATCAGCCACCCATTGGTGTTCCTTCTAACCAAGGTAATCTGCTCAGTTTTTTAGTCAATAGATCTATTTAGGATATAATGATTTCACACATTTGATTTTATTATTAGGTTATCAAGAAAGTTTCAGCAGGGATGCTTACCCCCCACCCGGCTACTTGCATCCCCCTAACCAGGGTTTCTCTCCCCCACCTTCCCAGTATTCGTAGTGGTGTCAGACAGATTGCTTCTGTTTCTTGGAAGCATGGTATACTACTATACTCACTAACTCCTCTTCTCTTAGCATTTCAATCTATTTCACTTTTGTGCAGTTATATTGGGATGCACATGTTAGATTTTTTTTATCTGATTTTTTTGCTCTGACTGACTTCTGGTCAACCCCAATATGCCAGTAGTTCCTAATGTGGTTTTGCCCAGAAGGTATAAGTGTATAACATCTACTTACCTAATACCTCTGTGGCTCTACAGTAATTGGAAAGGCCACTGGTAGGGATTGAACTTGGGAGGGCCAGTGGTAGGAGATAAACACGTGCACAACTTTTTCTTTATTTTATTCCAGGAAACCATATTTTTTTTACAAAATATATGGGTGTGTTTGGTTTGGATCTGTGGTGGGGGTGATTTGGCTTATTTTAGAATTACAATCACCATTTTTGTCCGTTTGGTTTGTACCGTTTGGTTTGTAATTTGGCCAAAGTGGGGTATGTTATTCTGGTGTCCAAGATGATACTCTGTATTTTAGAAATCACCTCCCATGATTCTGCCAAACGAGTATTTGAAACCAGCCTAGCCTATGATTACTTCTTTTTGAAATGCAAACCAAAGTCATCTATAGATTCTCAAGATTTTCAATGGAGTATAAAAAAAATATTCACTTCAATTTCACATCATAGCTTCAACTATGTGCAATTCCCTACAGCAGAGTACTTTTACATTATTGTCTTTTTTCATCATTTTCTTTTGCTAACTATTGCAGGTGAAGTTGAATTCAGTACACGAATCCATAGATGTGGATCCTGGCCATCTTCTTCTAAATTTAAATTTAGTAGAGTGTCTCTAAATTATAAAATGTTCAAACACCATAGATTGCCAAGGTGCATTGCTGTCAAATCTGAACTTGGTGGTACTGACTCCGCAGGTGTTGTACGTTCATTTCCAGGTGCATTTTGAGGCATTTAATCCTTATCATTCTTTGTCTATTCAACTTTATGATATTAAGTTTTTTGGTCTTCTCTTTTATAGAGCTGCGGCTGGGCTCAAAAATGAGAGGAATTGGCTTCTATGCTGCAACCTCTTTCTCTGCCATATTTTTGTTTGTGTTAATGGCTGCTGCACATCCTTTTGTACTCTTGTTTGATCGTTACCGTAGAAAAACTCATCACCTTGTTGCAATGGTTTGGGCAAAATTAACCGTCTCTCCATTCTACAAGATTGATATTAAGGGATTGGAAAATTTGCCTCCCAATGATGCACCTGCTGTATTTGTATCTAACCACCAGAGCTTTTTGGATATTTACACTCTCCTTACTCTTGGGAGAAGCTTCAAATTCATTAGCAAGACCGCTATTTTCCTCTTTCCTATCATTGGCTGGGCCATGTATCTGATGGGAACTATTCCATTGAGGCGTATGGACACCAAAAGCCAAATGGTAAGTTGTATTCTCTCCATCTGTAACGCTTGATCTATTCCCTTTTGTCTTGTGGACTCTAATTTGGGCATTTTTTTAATGAATCAAGGACTGTCTTAAAAGATGCATGAACCTTATCAACAAGGGAGCATCAGTTTTTTTCTTCCCAGAGGGTACTCGCAGCAAAGATGGGAAGCTGGGGGCTTTCAAGGTAAAGCCTATGCCTAACCTCTGCAATGTGTAAAAGAAATGGATGATTGAATGAACATCAGTAAACATAAGGGTTTGTGTATTATCAGCATCCACCTTAGGGATTAGAGTGCATTCCTTTTTCCTTTCAATAATAATAATATTTCTACTTTTAGTTCCCTACCTTGATTTTTTTCCGCTTTAAGGCTCTATTCATTGGGTTGTAACTCCTAACTTTCAACATCACTATGTTTTTCTAACCCCAAAAAAACAGAGCCTAAGTTGTTAATAATTTCTAATTGCTTCAATTAGTTTAGAGTTTTCAAAATGCCTCCACATGTAGTTGGATGAAATGCTACAAAATGTCACAAACTGACATCATTTATGGTTAAAGTCGCGTGTTTCTTTTATAGTCGAGGACCTTGAGACTTTCCCCACAATTTTCATATACTTTGTTAAATCTGGTAGTTACATTAAGTGTGCGTCTTAATTAGAAAAACTCATCGTCTTGACAATTGTTGCAACTTTGCATCTTATGATCTCATATTTTTCGACATCTAGAAAGGGGCATTCAGCGTTGCTGCCAAAACGGGAGTTCCTCTCGTTCCAATCACTCTTGTTGGGACCGGAAAAATAATGCCAGCAGGAATGGAAGGCAGGGTAAATTTCGGATCAGTTAAAGTTGTGATTCATCAACCCATAAAAGGGAGCGATCCAGACACGCTATGCAGAGAGGCGAGAAATGTGATTGAAAATCAGCTTGCAGTCCAATGATGATAAGAGAGAATGGGATGTGCAGAATTCTTATTCGATTTCAGGCTCCAAAGGGTTTTTGCCTATTTTAAAAGCACTGCAAGGGGTCTGCTTTGCCATTCTTCAAAGAACAGAATGTTACATTACTATAGGTAATAAGGATTTTACTATATACAAATACGAGATTCCTTCACACTATGTTTGGTTTAGGAAATTAGGACGAAAAAAGAAAATTACAAGGAAAAGCTAGTGGAATAAACCAAAAAATTGAGTTTTGCTTTGTTGGAAAAATTGATGAGAATATTATTTTTCATTAACTCTTTTGTTTGATTGTTGTAGAGAAAAACGTAAGAAGACATGGTTGAAGAAATTTGCCTTGCTAGGAGTAAAACGTAAAAAAAGTATCAGAATAGACTATAGAATAATACTACTGTCTTCTGGCAAATTTGCACGGCATATTGGTATCAATATTTTATGTTGATATTATTGACATTATACTTTTCTTTGATTCAAATGGATGGAAAATCGCTCTTTTTTTCTTTATGTTTTTCTAGCTTTTTCTTTTTTTCTTAACTGCCTTTTCTTCACTTTTCTTCATGTAATCTCAAATAAAAAATATTTATAAATTTGACAGGACCAAAGCCAAGACTCAAAACCAATTTTTTAAAATTCCGACGGACATTTATACGATCTTAAAATTCAAAATGAATTGATCGATAGAAAGCTTATTGAGATGCACACTGAGGTATATTTATAAGTATATTTTTTATGTTTTTGTTTTGTAGTTAATTACACCGAGATAATTGAAGGTATAACTTAATGTTTGTGTTTAGATGTTCAAGGCAAATAGAGTTATGCTAAGAGTGTTGAATTCATTCAAGATGTTTCTGAAAAGTGTGTTAATGATGCATGAAAATAATTTGAATGTTTTCGAGAGCCAACGACTTGAAGACTAATGCCGGTCTTGATCACAATAAGACCAACTCAATTTTTAAGTCTAAGTCTTCGTCTCTAGTCTTTGTTCTCGGTTCCATTTGATCTTTTGCCAATGTTTGTTCTTTTCCTTGAGTTGTTCAATTAATGTTTTTCATACCCTCTGCGGTTTGACATTTATCAAAACTTGTCAAAAACGAACATCACTTTAGTACAACGTAATTGTAAAGTATGTTCCAATAATTTCTCTATTTTGATAATAACAAACAAGTCGGGGATATGCATAAGAAAGATGGTTTCGAATGTTTGAAAGATTTCCCTTTAGTTTATGCCTTAAAAATCGTTTATAGAAACATTCTCCCTTAATACCGGAGTATATGTTTTTAAACCAAATTTGATCATTGATATGATTGATAAAACTAAGATGTGATTGGTAGATTATTACTCCCCCGTCCCATTTTAAATTGCCTATTTTGATTTTGGGACATATTTAAGGAAGAAAAAAAAATAGAATTGACCTTTTGAAATTGTCATTACTTTTTAGGAGGGATGGCGATGAATGAGAAGATAAGGTGGAGAAGAGTGACTTATTTTAGGGGTAGTTTAGGTATTTTACTCTTAAAAATTTACGATAACCATAAACATGCAACTTATTTTGGGACGGAGAAAAAAGGAAAACATGCAATTTAAAATGAGACGGAGGAAGTGGTAAAAATGTATGATGTGATAAGTAGAGTAAAAATTAGTTATGAGTAAAAATAATTTGTTAATAGGAAGATGAAGGATTTTGTAGGACAAAAAAATGAAAGGAAAAGTTTTTGGGAAGAGGGAGTATTTTTTCAATTGGGTTTTGTAGCCATTCAAAAAGAGTGACTACGGAAGCCACTCACCCAATTACGACACCTATGGTGCCCCCTTCGCAAAATTGATAGTTCGTACTCCCTCTAATCCCCCACTCGGTCCTGAAAAATGGGGAGTACTCCAAGAATTTGTACCCCATTTTGTACACCGCATGGATGCATGAAATTTTGGGATACATGTAGCATGCTCCAAAACTTTATGAAGAACTTACGTAAATAACACTAAAACATAATGACTTTCCTTAAATAGCATTACATGTGATTTTTTTTCCAATGTAGCACTTTTACTCGTTATCCATTAATCATTATTCAAGTAAATATTTGTCATCACTGGTCATTGTGGATATTATTAAGTGCTACTTAGGAAATAAAACAATTTACGTGCTATTCAGAGAAATGACTTAAATTTTAGTGCTATTTAGTGCAAATATTTTAAACTTTATTACCAATTTTTTTTACTTCCTTTCGAATTCCGCAAACCAAACATGCCTTACAATAGCAAAACTTTTTACGGTCTAAGGCTTTAAGCAAAGTTAAAATTTTGGCCAAGAGCAATGCTAGGGGTACACCTTTGGTGCACCGAAAAGTGTACTCATTTGTCTCTCATCTCTTTCTTCACTACTTATTTTTACTTCATTTTTATTTATTTAATTTTTTATTACTTTCTTGCCCATTTTTGTGGTAATGGAGAGGGTGGGGAGTAATGAGTGGACTCATAGTAATGGCACCTAGCATTTTGCATACGTAGCCTTGCAATTGCAATGGCATAAGGTTCAGTTGGACTGTTCTGGCAACCAAAATTGAAATACAAATGCTCAAAAGATTTTGAACACTCTGACGAAGAAGAAGCTGAAGCCAATGGCGTCCCACGAATCATGGAAGCCAACGGTCAAGAACAAAAGCAAGGAAGGAAAACAGAGCATTTCGCTCTTCGGCGCTCATCCAATCCAACCCTCAAGAGAATCATACAGATTATGGTTAGGGTTTCATCACCACGTTCGGGTTTTCTCTCCTTTCTTCTTCTTCTTCTTCAATTTCTCGATCTGTAACCCTAGCTGGTGATGAATTGTGCATCCACGCCTAGCAGGGGAGTCCATTGCAATGGTGAACGCAATTTTTGCACGACAAAACGAAACTGAGCTGATCAAGAATGGACTTTTGGTGTGCCGTCCATTGCGCAAAGGCCATGGCCGCAGCATCTTCTACGGCGAGAGCCCTTTGGATCACTCGATGCCTCTTATCTATGCGCAGATCTCTTTCATCATCCTCATCACCCAGCTCCTCCGTGTTCTTCTCAAGCCGCTCCGCCAGCCCAGAATCGTGTCTGAAATCATTGTGAGTTCCTTTCCCGGAATTCTCCAATCAATGTTTGCTTGGTAGAATTGCATTGTGCTATGATCAAATGAAATTGTTCTGGAGTATTATTCCATTGATTGATAATGACCACATATCCCATGAAGTGCAAGCTTTCACATGGAAAATTTAAGGGGTATTTATTGAATGCAAGCTTTCTAATGTATCAGAAATAATAATTTCTTGAATGCTAAAATTGATTGGGAAAAGAGTAAGAATTCATTTTTGCAGAACAACCCACAAATTTATATCCCCAACAACAAGAGTAACCCGGTATAATCTTAACACTGTTGGGGTCTAGGGTCAAGAAGTGTGCAGTCTTATCATTTCAAAAATAACAGAGTCTATTTCTGTTAGACCCTAGATGCATAGAAAGTAAGAAACAGGTAAAGTTTATTGATTTAGTCCGTTATGTGCCCGAAACTAAAATATTGTCAATAGTGACTCACTGACTCTCTTAGCTCCATTGGAATTGGACGGTCATTAGGTCATAATTATTTCAGTAATTGCATATAGCAGTGTACTTATGAATTTTTTGGGAGTATTCTTCCCGTTGGGATTAAGGCTGGGTTGTTGTATTATTTATTGTTTGATAATGATCAATTGCACATGAAGTGCAAGCTTGCACATGGCAAAAGGAAGTGGGTGACTGGGTGTCGTTGTCCAGGGGACACTATCTTTCTTCCCAACTTGGAAGGAAAAATAAAACATAAGGGATGTGGGAGAAAAATCTAATGGTTAAAATGTATAATTTTTTCTAAAGATAAATTTATTCCAATTCACCAAACAAAAGAGTTTCTTTAATATGAGTATTGATGGGGGAAAGAATAAAAATTCCTTTGTTCCCGAACACCCCACAAGTTGTTACCCCCATTAGGTTATTAATTAATTCAATGACTGCATATAGCAGTGTAACTCATGGATCTCTTTTTTTATTTTTGTTCGGCTTTAAGGGAGGTATAATTATAGGTCCATCAGTTCTTAGCCGCAGCAAGAAATTTCGTGATCATCTATTCCCAGATAATGCTAAATTTGTCACGAGAAACATAGGGCTTATGGGATTCATGTATTTCCTCTTCCTTTCCGGGGTGAAGACCGATCTTTCTGTTATAAAGAAGGTAGGAAGAAAGTATTGGTATGCAGCCGCATTTATCGTTTTTATCCCTTTCATGTGTGTAATTTTTGCTGCAATTCCTCTACGAAAGTATATGGAAAAGGAGGTTGCAAAAGCCTCTTCGATATTTGAAATTGCTTCCGAGTTTGCAATCACGGCATTTCCTGTCATCTATCCCATTATCAAAGAGTTCAATCTCCTTAGCTCAGAAATGGGAAGGACAGCCTTGTCTATAGCAGTGGTCAGTGACGTGATTGGGAACCAATTCTTATTGATATTTGATGCGTCCAAACACGGCGAAGTAAAGAGTTTTTCGGCTTTATGGTTCACGCTTTCAACAATCTTTATGATGGTGTTCATCTTCCTGGGCCTTCGACATGTCATGTCTTGGATAGTACGTATAACACCTGAAGGGAAACCGGTTGATCAGGTTTACGTGATTGCCATATTGTTAGGAGTCATGGTTATTGGATTTTTTGGTGACTTTTTTGGGTTATCCCTTGCCAATGGGCCATTATGGCTTGGACTGGCAGTTCCGGACGGGCCTCCATTAGGAGCAACTATAGTGGAAAAGACGGAGACATTTGTTTTGGAGCTTCTGATGCCCTTTTCATATGCAACTGTTGGGATGATCACTGATATATCTTCTATAGGTGGCCATTGGTCCGTTTTGCAACCTGTTTTCATAATTGGTATAGTTGGTTATATAAGCAAACTGTTTTCCATTCTCTTGGCTTCTCGTTTCTTACACATGCCATTAAGAGATGGTCTGGCTCTTAGCCTCATCTTGAGCCTCAGAGGTCAAATTGAAGTTTTGCTGTATATACATTGGATGGATGTCAGGGTAATCAATCTCACTTTTATTTTCTTTACCTTATTTCAGCCTTGATAATTATGCATTTGGTTCCTGCAAATATATTTGTTTTTCTCTCTTTGTTTTACTCGGAAGTTCTTATGAGATGCAGATAATAACGGCTCCATACTATGCAATGCTGGTGGTGATGACACTGGTGGTGACAGGCATAATCACACCTTTGCTCAGCATATTCTATGATCCAACAAGGCCTTATAGGGTTAACAATAGAAGGAACGTTCAGCACTCCCCACTGAATGCTGAATTGAAAATCATAGCTTGCATTCACGGGGAGGAGAACGTTCCAGGGCTACTCAACCTCCTGGACCTCGCGAATCCAATGGTCAACAGCCCTTTCTCAGTGTACGCAATACACCTTATTGACCTAGTGGGCCGGGCCGCCCCGGTTTTCATAGATCACCAGGCTGACCCGACCGAACAACAAAACTCCAAACAGTCATTTGCTCAAATCCAAATCCGCAACGCGTTGAAGCTTTTCGAGGAGGGTAGAGAAAACATCCGGATCCATCCTTTCACATCGGTGTCTCCCAAGAGAAGCATGTACCAGGACATATGTGAGCTGGCGCTCACAAAGAAGACTTCTCTCATCATCTTGCCGATCCGAGCGGGCTCAGGCGGCGGAGACGTGGTGGTTTCCGATGGGTATCAGTCGGTGAACTCCAGTGTATTATCCCATGCCCCTTGCTCGGTTGCCTTACTCGTCGACAGAGGTTTTGCCCCTCAAAACAACATGAGGATCTCAAACTACCATTTCGCCTTCCTTTTTCTTGGAGGAGCCGATTCACGCGAGGCACTCGTTTGTGCTGATCGGATGGCCTCCCGGCCGGAGATCTCTCTCACTGTAATCCGGTTCCTCGCGCACAACGGCGAAGGGGACAATGAGATGGAGAAGAAACTGGATGATGGGCTGGTGACGTGGTTCTGGGTGAAGAACGAGGCAAACAGACAAGTTGTATACAGGGAGGCCGTGGTGAGGAACGGGGAAGAAACGGTCGCCACGATTCAGGCGATGAAGGAGGGGGACGATTACGATCTGTGGATAGTTGGGAGGAAGCAGGGGATAAACCCCGTGCTCTTACAGGGGTTGACGAACTGGAGCGAAAACCACGAGTTAGGGGTCATAGGGGATTATGTGGCGAATTCGGATCTAGGCGGAACTTCTTCTTTGTTGGTAGTGCAACAGCAGATTCTGAGAGGGAGAGAGAGTGCTTATAGTGCTTTAGTTGGCAGATTTTCATGGTGTCTGTAATGTAAGTAGTTGGCTATTAGTTAACATTTCTCACTCTCTCTGTCTCTGTGTATGCAGATTAGCAGTAGGAAACCATGGTAGCTAAGACTGTCACAATGTACAAACATTTGTGTTCTTTTCTGTTGAACAAAGATTTTCTTAGCTCAAGCATTTACCCCTTTTGTCCCATATAAAAGGTTTCACATTTCTTTTTTCGTTCGTCCCATTTATGCAAAACTTTCTTATAAACCATGTCAATTCCATTATGAAACCTTGTGAAAGAAAAAAGGATCATTTATTCATACTTTCTGGTGCTGGCTGATTTATATATATGTCTCGTGACAGGATACAAAGTTGCAATATAAGTACAGACATTAATATGGGAGCCATAGTCCTATCTATGGACTAAAAACAATCATAAAGAAATCAAGACGGGAAGTCGGATCGGTCGACGGGTTTAAGCTCAGCAACGTGGCAGATCCGGCGGCGGGGGTTTCACCGTCTGATTTTCCCCTTCCCCATTTTCAACGATGAATGCCATAGCCAAACCCCATGCCAGATGAGAATCAATGTGACAGTGCATCAGCCATACCCCTGCATTCATTTGGTCAAAACAATAGGTTCTTCATAATTGGATGAGCTAGCTAGTTATAATGCTTATATATATATATATGCTAACAATTTGAATCCAATTGATAAGTTGAGTCTTGGACTCTTACCGGGATTATCAGCGAAGAAACGGATGACAGCCCATCCACCCACGGGCACGTCGATCGTGTTCCTAATGGGTGGGTCGACGAGGTTGAACTTAGCCGGGTCAGTCTTAGGGTTAAAGTTTCCGAAACCCTGTCCGACCACCCAGAAATGGTACCCATGAAGATGGATCGGATGGTCTTCCTTCGAGACGATGCTCGTGTCTTGCAAAACGATCTCCACCCTAGACCCAAACTTCAACTTGTATAACTTTGTTCCGGTCTGAGGTTGCCAGAGCCCGCGGGGAACATTGCCCATGTAGTCGAACCGCCGAGGCGGGACCGGCGGGAAGTCCAGCGTGTAAATCCCAGGAATGTTGTTGTAGTATGCCTGGAGCAACGACGTCGTGTTGGGAAACACGAATGACACGTTGTTCATGCTTGCGGCGAACCGCGTGTTGTTGTTCGGCCCCTGACATGTGGGCCCCGGGGTGCAATTCACCAGGCCCAACCCCACCGTGAAAAACAACTTCTCGTCCACGCGAGTGAAGACTCTCGGGTAGTCGCTCGACGGCAAACTCCTCAGCCGCCGCGCAAACGCGGTGGCCGCGGCGGTGTCGTTGAAGCGGGGGAGTTTAGGTGAGAGCGGTTTCAAACTCGCGCTGCCGCCGTTGCAATTCGTGTACTCGATGACGGCAGTCGTCGTCGTGTTATCGAACGGGGCGTTCTGGGCCGTCACGTAGGCGCGCGCGGCCATGTAGTATCTCCCCGTTGGGCGGTTGGCCTTGAGGAGAACGTTCGTCGTCTGGCCGGGTCCCACCATGATCGCGTCGGTGGTGAAGGGCTTGTTGTAAGCCCCGTCGGCGCCGACCACTTTGAGCTTGTGGCCGGCGACGGAGAAGAAGAGTTGTTGAGTGAGTGCAGCGTTGATGACTCGGAGGAGGATTGTTTCTCCCTGGTCCACACGCAATTTCACAGTATCTGCATGAAAAAATCAGCCAAATAGTTTCTTCATGCAAGTACACTATATGTTTGGTTCAAGTCAAGTCCAACATACACTCCAAGAAGCCCAAGATCATTCAATCTTTCATACTAAAGTATACATACAAATCAGCCAAGAAGTGGCAAAATATATGTTGTTTGGTTCAACATTTTTATGAATCCTTAGTCTCTCTTCTTCTGTCTTGTCCTACAAAATCTTTCCATATTCTATTAAAAAACTACTTTTCCCATATTAATTGTTAACTTTTCTATCAGATCATACCTTTTTATTAATAATGTATCCATCAATCCTACTTTACTCATTACATCAAAGATATTTTTGGAAAGTCAACACACAATTATTCTTCCTTTAAATTTTCTAAAAATCAAAATGGGGACATCTTTAAGGGACAGAGGAAGTATGAAAATAAAAAATATAGGACATACTCTGAAGTATTTATTTCATACTCCCTCCATTTGCAAAAAAGGTTCCTACTTGACTTAGAGCCAAAATAAGGAAGGGTAAAATTATAGTTGACTTCCAAGTTTGTCCCTGATGTGATGGATAAAAGTAAAATGTGATGGATAGATTATTAGAAAAAAAGTATGATGTGATAGGTAGGGTATGAAAAAGTAAGGATAGAAGTGGTTTTTTAATAGAAAGTGGAAGTGTTTTGTTGGAAGTGAAAAAAATAAAAGAGAAAGTGTTTTTGAGAACGGAGGGAGTAGTTCTTTTGATATTGCTTTTGAGTGTCATAATAATGACATCGAAACGGAGTACAATTGTACTGTATCATTTCGATATTTTTACAATTGTAGCATTACAATTGTGACACCCATGTACTCCCTCCGTCCCAAAAAGATCGTTACATTTCATTTCTTTGCGCATCACAAAAAGCAATGCTACTCACATCTAAAAATTCTAAAATTTACCATATTTACTCTTTATTATAAGATGAAATTGTTTTGAAAGTTTTTTTGGCATTTGAGACGATATAAAAGTATTTTGAGGGATGCGCAAAAAATGAAACGTAACGATCTTTTTGGGACGGATGGAGTATTTTATTACCTGGGCTAGAACATTTGTAAAGGTCACCAGGTTGGCCATTGATTGTATAAGCATCTGAAATGTTAGGAGCTCCACCACTGGAAAGTGCCTGTCTCTGGATTGCAATCACATCTCCCTTCCACCATTCCCCTGTCCCATTGAAAAAAAAAAACTTGATAAAGTCATAGTAAAAAAAATGGTGAGTGAACTTTGGGATTTAAGGAAGGGCATGTGTACCTAGAAGTATAGGGATGTCCTTCTTTGGTTTGGGGAAAGGTAAATGGGAACCCGGTTTCGGGTGGATTATAAATGCGCCATAGACGGTGGCTCTCAGCCACCTGCTATGAGCGTGCCACCAAAAAGTGCCCTCCTGTTTTTCGATCTTGAACCTGTATGTGTAGGTCCCACCCGGCATTATCGGGCATTGCGTCACGTATTCTGGACCATCTGCCCACGGTGTTCGCATCTGGCGCAATCCATGCCTGAGATAAAATATGTCAAAAATATCAGAGTATACAAGTTTGAACTTTTTATTGAATTGATTATAAAGGAAGATGCTAATAAGATTATATATTGATGATAGAAGTCACAAGTTATCTGGACATATGTGTCAAAACCACACTATAAACATGTATGTAATCGGGTATATAACTAGTTCAACTTGACGACGTCCGAATTACCAGTGGATGGTGATGTTGTAACGAGCTCGGTTTACGACGCTCACAACGACGTCGTCTCCATTTCTAACGGCAATCGTTGGCCCGGGGAACTGTCCGTTAACTGTGATTATGGTTTTGGTCTTGCAAAGCCTCGTTATCTTTGTTTCTTGGACCTATATATTCAAGCCAAAAACAAAAAAAAAATTACAAGTGTACTTGATAAAACATCATTTTTAAAATAATAACATTGAAAAAAACTAATTAAAGGCAACAAATATATAATATAATGAAGAATAATATGCGGCATGACTTACAACAAATTGTTGATGGTAAACATCTGCATTTGCTAAAGAAGAAGCCAACAGAGTTAGTAGTATTGTGACAAGAAAGAATGATGCATTATTGTTGGATGACAAATGGTTTAAAGACTTTTGGGTCTCCATTTGTTTATGTTAATTCTAGAGTTGTGGTACATGGTGGGTATTTATAGTACTAGAAAGAATGGGTTTCTTTCTTTCTTTCTTTTTTGTTTGGTAGTAGTTAGGTTATTGTTCTTTAAGACTTTTAGAGGTCAAAAAAGGACTTAGTTTCCCAACAACAATGGAGGATCTATGGGCTATGGCTATTGGTTCACCCACTCCCTACCCCCACCCCTCCATCTCTTTGGAAGGTTATGTTGTCAGCACAAAATTTCTTATACAATTTCACATTGTTTGAATTTGTTTGAGATTACAATTTCATTTAGGTCCCGTTTGGTACATGGAATTCAAACTATGGAATTGGAATTGGGAACTTCAATTTCAATTCTGGTGTTTGGTAGCACAAAAATTATGTGGATTTGGAATTGATAATGCAAAAAATGAATTGAAATTGACAGAATTCAATTCTATGGAATTGAATCTCATGAAATTTTAATTCCAATTCAATTCCAATTCCACCAATTTCTTATACTAAACGGACCCTTAGTTTTTCTAAATTAATTTGACTGCATGGTTCTAGGACCTTAGCTTGGAGGTCTAGAAGATTGAGTTCTTATTTTTCTTTTAAAGGGCTATGTTGGCCGAGTAGCGTAGCTCAACTAGGTGATATTTGATAGAGCAAACAATTTTTTTTTTATAAATATAACTACATAGTTATATTTGTGAACAAAATAACGGTATACAGATGAATTAAGCTAGTTATACACCAAAAGCTTTATTCCAAATTATATTCCACAAGTGTTCGTTTTCATTTTATGCCAGTGTGATAGTTTATGCAAACACAAAAATCTAGTAAATTTTTTTAACACACTAGCATATTATGTCAGTGTGAACCATTGAAACGTTGTTGCAGAATTTTTGGTATGCACTCATTGGTGTACCCCTAACATGGTTGTATACAGATTAGTGTACATCATGTGATGTACAAAAATACACTCGTGCCATAAAAGCTTAAATTTGCTCTGGATGATGATGTTCTATTTAGGGAGAAAGACCAAACTAGGACTAAAACATTGAAAATATACCAAAATAGGACTTCCATGTTTTTATTCCTGAAATAGGACTTACATTACCAAACATGGTCATATACATTACCAAAAAAGTATACTCCCTCCGTCCTATAATGTTCTTCCCGATTCATTTTACGAAGTTTGACCGACTTTATTTTCAATTCAATTTATTTGATTGTAGGTGTAAAATTAAAAATTAAAATTTATATATTTAAAAACTACATCAAAAGTTCTACAAAACAAGTGGTGACAAGATTATATTATTTTATCAAATATCTAATGAAAATAGGTAAAGAAAGTGATAAAAGTTTGACCGTGTAAAAAGTGAGTGGGAAGAACATTATAGGACGGAGGGAGTAGTAATTTGCACATGTACACTGCCACATTACCACAATGCAAAATCACATTACCACAGTGCAAAGTCCTATTCCAGGAAAAAAAAACATGAAAGTCCTATTTTGGTACTTTCTCTATGTTTTAGTCCTATTTAGGATGATTTCTATTTATTTAAATAATGGTACAAAATATAAAAATAATTTATTTATTAAAAATTTATTCTTAATGTTCTATAAAACAAGAGATAACACAATTATGTTTTTTTAAATAATTAACGAAAATTTGTAATGAAATACCGAGTAAAAAAAGTTCGTTTGACCTAGCATCTAAGTAGAAATGTTCAAAAATAGGCCCTAAACACCTCGTTTAGCATCTATAATCTTCAATGGGTGTATCTCGGTCCAAAAGGTATGTGGAATCGCCCACCCCAGGCGTCCCCACCCCCTGGCCCGACAGGGATGGTAGAGGAGTAAATCATGGTGACTCAGTCGGCCAAGAACACTAGACCTGTGCCCACCGCGCACAAAGAGCCTCTTCACCCTTTAAGTGATTTTTGGATAGCTCCCACACTGCCGCTTGCGGGACTCGATCCCCGATCATCGGTCCAATATTTCACGTTCTTGACCAACTGAGCTGCCCATGCAGGCTTCAATGGGTGTATCTCTTTTCGATGCCAAGTGGCTCTATATTGGATATATGTCATTTCATTATTGGACTAGTTACGTGTCATTTAACTATGGGAGAATGAAACTCTTATTTTTGTTCGCATCTCCTAGGATTATATGTTATCATGAGCTTGATGGCGGCTTGACGAGTACCTTCTAAACGACACATGGCAGTAAACTTTCATCACCCAAGTCAGTTGAAGAGTTTAAGGGGTGTTATTGGGGGGAGGGGGGAGGAGGTTGACAATTTTTTTCTTAATTGGAGCCAAACACATGTTTTTAGCCATTGGGAAGGGGAACTTGAAAGACGCAACGCACGAGGTGGGACGCGTTCGTGACCGCCATCACAAGCAAAGGGTCATGTAGCTTGTGTCGCGGTAGTCGCACTGTGACGAGCGTGACGGTTTGGTGGTGCCAGTCCGTCACATTGCATAAGACAACCTTTTCTCTTTCATTTTAATTTCTAACTTGGGCTCACTAATGTATCACACTCAAACTTACTATTGTGATCCTATATTCCACTTTTGAAATGTGAACATTCTTACATATATTCTATGGGTTCATAGAATTTATTTTTATAAGTTGTACTACAAACAGTATTTTTATGTATTAAAGCTTATAAAATGGAAATAGAATAGGACAAATAGATTAATTTGGCCCCATCCAATTTGCCGTGCATTATGTGTCACTTGCCCATTTGGGGCTAACCTTTGGTCATATCCGTCAAAAGTATGTTAGTTAGGTACGTCCCTTCCCTCTCCTCATTTCAACTTTACAAAAAAAATACTCCTTCCGTCCCAAAAAAAAATTTCTTACTTTAGTTAACGTACAAAATCACGTGGATTTTAAAATAATTTTATTTGCAAATTGGTAAGGAAATAACACATAAAAAAATTATATTTAGAAACTACATAAAAAAAATTTACAAAATAAGAGGTGACAAGAATATTTTATTTTATCAAATGATCAATGAAAACACGCAAACAAATAAGAGTTATCGAGAGGCCGTAATAGTAAACAGGAAAGACTTTTTTGGATGGAGGGAGTACTAGTCATAAACAAACACTTCACAAATTTCATAAATTTGTTTTTTGTTGATTTTAAGTTTAAATATTATTTATTATTTGAGTCTATTTTATTCTTAGTAAAATATTAAAAAGATAAATTTATGAATTTTTGTGTATTTATTTGTGACTCTAGCATTACTTTTTTTCAAAACCAGATATTAGGCTCACACACTAATTCTGGACTGTATAAGCAACTCCCTAAGACTTATAGAGAAGTAAATTTATATTTTATTCCTGCCGATATACGGTTAGGTTCCGTGGCCACTGGATTCCATTCGTCACGGAAGCCACTGCCCCCCTACGGAGCTCCGTTAATAAAATTGATTATTCCTACCCCTTCCCTAACCTCTCCGGTAAACCTCCCCGCCGAGTCCCGACCCCAACTCATTCCCCCACCTATGTCAATTGCACCTCGTAAATATAATTGACTTTAAAGTTAATTATACTTATGAGGTGCAATTGACGTATGTGGAAGGATGAGTTGAGGTCAGGACTGGCAAGGGGGTTTACCGGGGATAGGAAATATCAATTTTATGAACGGAGCTCCGTACGAGACAGTGACTTCCGTGGCCACTGGATTCCAGCGGCCACGGAACCGGGCCGATCAATATAAGGGTTACCTGGTTCCCATTATATACAGGTTATACGAACAAGGTTTACATCACTACTACGGAGTAAATAATATTACCCTCCTTCCTTAGTACTCCCTTCGTCCCAAATTATTTGCCACATTTGTATTCTCGAGACAAAATATCAAGTTTTTTCAATTCATTTTATGTACGTATTGGTAAAGAAATAAAAAAATAAAATTTACATATAAAAAAACTACATGAAATGTTCTTCGAAATAAGAGGCGTCAAGAATATTTTATTTTATCAAATAATCAATGAAAACGTAGAAATAAACAAAAGTTCCTGATACTGCTGAAAAACAAATGTTGTGAATATTTAGAGACGGAGGGAGTATTTGTCTATTTTTGTCTTTTTTCAGTTAACCATTTTTAACCTTTGACCTATAATTAAATAAAATATATATTGTATACTAATTAGATTAAAATAATATTTGAAAATATTTTATATAATAAATCTAATAAAAAAAATTGTATCAATATCTAATATCAATTTTTTTAATTTAATGTCAAATTTTACCATTTTTGACCGAAAAAATTCAAACATGAATAATACTCAAAGAGGAATGGAGTAGCTATTCTTTCTAAGATATGAACCCCTGTGTTCACATAGTTTTCTCTCCCTCTGGTCTCTTCCAGTGGACCACCCTTCAAGGGCCGACGAAAAATTATCTCAAAATAAATTTTATATTCTTATTTTGAAATGAAATGAATGGCTCATATTTTTCCCATTTTAAAGTAATTTTGGATCGGAAAAATATCTCAAAACTCATTTTTTATAGTAAAAAGTTCATGAAAGTCAAAACAATCCTAAATATAGGGCGACTGAGCTAGATATTGTATAACACCTTGACTATGAATTAAATATCTCTGAGTACAGTTTCAAATAACTAAATGTTATAAACTTTTGGTATATCAAAAATATACTATAAAATGAACCTAATTTCAGAAAATTTACATTATAACATAATATAACGAAAAAAGTCAAATTGTAATTTGACTATTCGGATCGTAGGAGGGAGTCTGTTTTTTTTGGTGGAGTAGGATCATGTAATTGTTATCAACATGGATACCTCTCGTAATTAACGTGTTAATTACGTACGCGTTAATTTGGTAGTTCATGCGCGTGGCCTAATTATGTTTAGGATGAAATTATTATCAATTCATTTTATTATAAATAACGATCTAAATTTTTAAAAAATAATAGTAAGAAGAAGTATATTTGAAAACCACATACAGAAAAACTGTGTTAACTAACAAATGCTATTGTATTCCTTTAACAAATGAAACAATAAAAAGATCTAAGAAAAGAATATAATTAAAGTACGGAGTATTTGACAGCATAAATAGTGA